CAAAGACAGGCTAGACCACGCTCCTCTTTGTGAGAGATGATTTAGGGGTAATGAATTCTGAATTCAGTTTTGCACATTTATGGGGAGCTGGACGAATCGACCCAGGAGAGTTTCTTTTGGACCCTGCTGAAAATTGTTTAAATCGGTCCAGATCCAAAGCCAATGGAATTCAGTAACTTCCTTGTTACTATAGCTGAAAAGGTCTGTTTACCCAGGAACATCAAAGCAAAGAACTGAAGCATGCACTTGCAGTTCTAGCATAAAGGCGACTCCAACTGGAGTCCTTCCTACTGTATTGAGTGGAGATCTGAGTCCATCATGTTTACCTCAAGCTCAGCTAAGACTGGAGTGTGTGTTTGTTAAATCTGTGTCAGATGGTGCTTGCTTGAAGGAGTGCGTGAAGGGTTGGATGCTCTTGAGGCTAAGCCATAGGACTAGGGGTTGAGGCTCTTTGGTTCTATTCCTCACTCTGCCACTGATTCTTTGAGAATTTGGGTCATTCAATCACATCTCACTCTCCTCAACTTTAAAATAGAGATAATACTTCCCATACACACAGGTGTATTGGAAAGCTTAGATGAGGGTTTGTAAAAGTGCTGCAAGTTTCTCAGATGGAAGGCAGTACGTAGGTTATATGTATGTGTTGTGTGTGTGTGTACATATATATATTGCACATATAAAAACTATGTTAAAAGAGCAATAAGGTTGCAAAGTCAAGTAGTCAAAAGTTAGGAAAAGTCAGAATTAAAGTTGCCTGTGCAACCTTAATTCTGCCCTCATGTGTGTATGCATTATGATACAGGCCTTAATTACATGGTCACATGCTATTTTTTCCACCAGACCCCTGTCTCTTTCATTGCACAGGATGGACAGTGCTCAGTTAATGACCAGCTGTTCAATATTTTGTTTTATCCTCATTGTCACTATTCAAACCCTGCTCTTTATACAGAATTATTAATTTCCGCCAGGGCTATTCTGTGACGTTCATCACTATAATATCTGAGTGCTTCACAAATGTTAATACATTTATCTTCACAACACCCCAGTGAGGCAAGGGAGTGCTGTTATCCCTATTTTACCACTAGGCAATCGAGAAGGGAGATTAAGGTCAAAAGTGTCCACTACTTTTGGGTACCCAATTTTAGATGCCTAGGACCTGATTTTTCAGAGTCCTTAGCATAATATAGCACTTACATCTTCAAAGCACAGCTTCCATGGATTTCAAAGGCAGCTTTGAGTGCTCAGCACTGCTGCAAACCAGATTCTAGTTGGGCACCCAGAAAATGAGGAACACACAATTAGTGGCCGTTGGTTAAAATGATTTCCTCAGCATCACACAGGAACTCTGTGGCAGAGGCAGAGAAAAAGTCCAGTTCTCCAGGGAAGCATTCAACTGCCTTAACCATGAGACCACCCTTTCTCATCCTGCAATCCTCTGCCTCATTTGCTATATACCTTCCAACTTCTACAGCAACTGGGGCAGGGGTCCTGCAGACAATGGCCTCCTTTACTAAGCAGCCCCAATTCATCCCCAGGAGCTGTGGCAACTGATATTGTGCAAAGTCTTATAACTTGGCCAAATTTGGATGTTTTTTCATGGGCACAGCAAAAGGTGCATTCCTGACACAAAGGTCATACACCCCTGCCAAATTGCGACCCCTTCCACCAAAGCATGGCGTCACTAGAATTCCCCATCAAAATGGTGGTAAGAATATTTTTAAATGGCAAAATAATGTATTTTCCCTATTCTCTGAAACAGCTGAGCCATTTTTTTGCTGAAACTTCAAAGGAAAAGAAAAAGAACGAGCCTTTGTCAGACACGCAGCATAGAAAATTTCAGCCCAAACAGTTAAAATTTTGACAAAGTTATAAACAACTGAAAACATGGTTTTATAATGGCAAGCTTAACTATAGGCATCACTACCTCTCCTGCCTGTAAAAGAAGTAAAGAAATAGTTTATAAATTCACCACAACCTCAGCTGGTGTTGACTTCCTGATTTATACCCGTTGAGTATCTGACCTAGTATTTTTGAAGCCTGGGTACCATGACTAGAAATGCAAGTATTATCTCAATCTTTAGTATTGTTCCTGGGGTCTAAACCAAAGTTTGCCATTTAAACTGCCCAATGGGAACAGAGAAAATGAAGAACAGAGCCCTGGGGAATCCCTCTGATCAGTGGGAACAGACTACAGGAAAAGGAGCATGATTAGGATACTATAAATAGTCCCTGCATGACATAGACTTTAGAGCCACTTTGTTTAGGTCAATGGTGGCACAGACACTGGGGAGGTGACAAGGGGCAGCCCAAAAAACTAGCCCTCCCCTTTGCAGCAGTAATCAGTAAGATAGTTGTGAACATAAACGAAGCAGTTTCCTGAGCTGTGAGCTTGACATGAAATCTAGCTGGAATGTAAGCCGCCCCAAGTTCGAAGGTGCAGGGTAAAACATAACAGAATTTGTTTTTCTCCTTGTGCTGTTTTTCCCAAAGTGTTCCATGATCTAATAAAGGAAGCTTTGTCAGACCCAGACACACACATTAAACATCTCTGGTCATTCCTCTCACACTTCCTAAGTTGTGGATGTTGTTGTCTAGTTGTTTATGCTCAGAGTGAGCTTGTCAGCTCTAAATATAAAATGAAATGTGAATAAAGAGCTTGAAGAGAAGCATAAGAAAAGTACTAATTTATAAGAGATGGCTCCAAACTATTGCTACTCCTATCATGACTGCTACTGGGCACTGCTATTAGAGACACCCCCAGTCCACATGTACCTTAATGGAGCCGTCTCTTTTAGATCCAGTGCCCAGCTGCTGCTTGATTTCCCAGCATGCATTACCACCCAAACTCTGGAGACAAGCTCCATTCCGGGATTGACTACATGCCATTAGAACCGGAGGCAGCTGGCACTACCAGCTACAACCAAAGTCTTAGAGCAGGGGTGGGTACACTTTTTGACCTGAGGTCCACACCTTGGTATGGAAATTGTATGGCGGGCTGGCTGGGGCAGGGGATTGGGGCGCATGGGGGGGATGAGAGCTCCGGATGGGGGTGCAGACTCTGGGGTGGGACTGAGGCTGAGGGGTTTGGGGTACAGAAGGGTGCTCCAGGCGGGGTTGGAGAGGTTCGGAGGGCGGGAGGGGGCTCTCAGCTGTGGCAGGGGATTGGGATGGGGCTTCGGGCTGGGATCAAAGGGTTTGGAGGGCAATCAGGGCTGAGGCGGGGAGTTGGGCTGCAGGGTGGCTCAGGGGTGCAGGATCTGGGTGACACTTACCTGAAGCGGCTCCTGGAAACAGCGGGCCATCCCCCCCTCTGACTCCCAAGCAGAGGTGAGACCATGTCACTCTGCGTGCTGCCCCATATGCAGGCATCACCCCCTCAGCTCCCATTGGCCATAGTTCCTAGCCAATGGGAGCTGCAGAGCTGGTGCTTGGGGCGGGGGCAGTGTGTGGAGCCCCTGACTGCTCCTGCTTCTGGGAGCTGTGCGGAGCTGCTGCACGTGCAGAGTGGAGCAAGGCAAGCCCACGATCCCACTCCCCGGCTGGAGCACTGGAGCAGGGGAACTCAAAGGCTGGATTAAAAGGGTGTGGCCCGCGGGCTGTATTTTGCCCACCCCTGTTTTAGATGTATGATAAGGTTGGGAATCACTGGTGTCTGGATTTTGGAATAAATAGTTCTCAGACTCTCTCCCTCTGGCCTTGAAGGCTGAGGGAAATACAACAAGAACAGTCTAGCCTGGAGAGCAAATCTTATTTACTGAAGACATTCACCAGCAACAGGAATGGAGATTCAGATTTTTCATGTCTAGCAGAAAATCTATTATCCTCTAATGGTATAAAACATTGCAGTAGTAATGGTATAATGGTATAAAACATTTATAGTAATGGTAGTAGTAATGGTATAAAACATTTCCTAGTCAACTATGGAAATCTACAAATGTTTTGGAACAAAGGATATAGAAATTGTCATATCTGATCAGATTAAGGGTTTGTCTAGTCTAGTATCCTGCCTCTGGTAGTACCACATGCTTCTGAAGAAGGTCAAGAAACTGCAAAATTGGTAAGAACAGCCTTTCTGGCCACATAGGGGAAGTTCTGTCCTTGGCTTATCAACGTAGAACGTATTTAGTGGGCCAGGAAGCCAAGTCCTGCCTAACTCATGGAGGATAGGTCCATCAGTGACTATTAGCCAGGATGGGCAGAGATGCAAAACCGTGTTCTGAAGTGTTCCTATCCTCTGTTTGCAAGAGGCTAGGAATGAGTGACAGGAGATGGATCATTTGATGATTACCTATTCTGTTCATTCCCTTTGAAGCACCTGGCATTGGGCAATGTCAGAAGACAGGATACTGGGCTAGATGGACCTTTGGTCTGACATAGTATGGCTGTTCTTATGATCTAACTAGCAGCTGTTTCTGCTCTAGGTTCACTGCCCCCATTGCAGAGGGAAGGTGCAGAACTGTGAAAGGGGGAAGCTGGTAGTTCAATAATGGAGTCATTGGGTGAAATTCTCTGGCCTGTGTTATGCAGGAGGTCAGATTAGGTCGAATGGTCCCTTGTGGCCTTAAAATCTATGAAAAAAATCTTTGAAAAAGGTGTCGTCATGGGGCTACCAGTTTAGCTGCCATCCAGACTAAGGATAGAGAGAAGGCAGCCAGCGGAGTCCAGAGAGGAGTAAAGCAGGCCAGCCAGATGGTCCTGCTGTTGAAGGTAGCTGGGAGCTCCAGTAGGGGGCAGATTCTGACAAAGTTCACTAGGCAAAATAGCCGCATTAAAAGGTGACGTATGTGCTGACTGTCTGCAACTCTCTGTCAGCCAAAATTGTGGAGAGGACGGTTTCATCTTGTTCTCCAATAAATGTATTTGTAAGTCAGGTAAGACAGAATGGGCAACTCAAATGCTGCATCTCCCCTGCACTCTTTGATCTGCTCTCCATGTAACACCGCCCTTCACTTTAGCTTCACGTTGGTCACAAACTGTCTCCTCTTCTCCTAGGTGATCATCGAAGACATTGGCAATAAATCTGTGTACGAATTCCCAGTTGGTCGCTGGTTTGCGTTAGATGAAGATGATGGGAAAATCCAGCGGGACATTCTCGTGGGAGGAAGTGAGGCCACAGGTAAAGGCAGTGGGCCTGATTCTGGGATCGGGGGCAAGGAGAACTGTGGAGCGAGCAAAGGTTTAAATAGCACTAAAATGAGATCCAATAAGTGGAGCATGGGAAGTGAATGTCGACCTCCAACATGGTCATAAGGGGCAGGTCACCCACATAGCTGGGTTAGGGTTGGAGAGGCAGATATAGAGAGGCAGAGTCCACTTCTTCATGGTCCTTGGACCGCAGGGACCTGTGCTGTGTGGAGATCTCTAGCCATGCCCCATTTAGAAGTTAACATGCCATGTTTGTGATTCATCATGGAGACCTGCTGTGGACCAGACATCTGTGACATGCCAGTCCTCCAGTGCCCAGCTCACCAACATAGCAGATGCATGACATGTCCATTGATGTAGGTCAGGAAGCACCTGCATCAGCAGGCTCCAGGCTAATGGCTCATGGAAGAAGGATCCAGTGTATGAGTTAACATGTCGACTGTCAGCCTTCAGAATGTGGGTTACCAGTGCCAAATGGCTTAATTATTTATCTGAGTAACTGATGAAAAAGCTTCCAATGTGCTGCTCATCGATCAATTTTATGCTTGATACTATTGCTGGGGAAGCATAATCTCCTTTTACAATGCACTATGTTCAATTCCAAAGTCTAATATTGACTTTATGATTGTCTAACTTAATTAGAACACAGACAGACAAATGCTTTCTCATTGTTTGAGGAAATCTGAGCTCCTATGGTTTGATAAAGATGCTCCACTTGCATAGAACATGCCAACATGCAAATATTAATGTAACTTTTGAAAAGACATGACTGTTTATAAAACATCAAGTTCTGAAGTCCCTACTGAAGCAAAAATCACCATTGAAGTTTGAGTTAGTTAATCTGAGCAAAGGCTGCAAGGCTGGACCCAAAATATTTATATGTGCACCTTGGAACATTCTTATGGTAGTAGGAACGTTTCCTTACTTATTAATGGAACATATATGTGGGAGCCAGGAGTGGCTAACTTCTAATAATCCCAGCTGTGCCATCGACTCTGTCCGTGACATCGACGTCTCCAAGGCGAGATTTTCAGATTTTTTTCAATGGACATGGAAATTGCCGTGCTGGATCAGACCAGTGGTTCATCTAGTTCTGTATCCTGGAGCTTATTTTCAGTGGCACTGAAGATCTACAGGTCCACTTCACTTTACTTAGAACTTCTGGTGCTCAGCTCCTCTGAAAAGCAGGTCTCTCTTACTTAGGTGATTAAATATGGGTCTAGGCACTTAACGTTAGGCACCCCCGTTTGAAAAGTTGGTGTTGACAACTATGCCTCAGTCTCCTAGCTCTTAAAGTGGAGTAATCTCTGTGACTACCTTGTGAAATGTAATGCAGAACACTCTGAAGATATTACATATGTGTTCAGTATGTTTCATTTAATTTAATAGAAAAAGCAAGAATGTCAGAACCACTGAACTTCAGCTAAGGGTTCTTTCTTTCTGGGACCTTGTAGTAGAGAGGCTATCACCCTATGTGTACTCCTGCTGGAATATATGAAGTTATATAAGCTTTAGCTGTGAGTTTCTCTGAACACTCCATAGCATGAAAAAACAATCATATTTATAGTGCACTGCATGGTGGTTGAAAACAAAACACCCTGCAGGAAATCAATGCAGCTATGAACCACATTCTATGTCATGTCAAAAATTGTTACTTTCACTTTTTTTTTCTTTCTAACTGACTCTCATTCCTTTGTGAACCCCTCAGGTATTGTTTACAATGTTGCTGTAATGACAGGGGATGTCAGAGGGGCTGGCACTAACTCCAAGGTCCACATAATCCTGCATGGCTCTAAAGGTTTAAAGAACAGTGGGAAGATTTTCTTGGAAGGAGGTGAATTTGAACGCGCCAGGACAGATCTATTTAACATTGAGATAGCAGCTCTTCTCAGCCCCCTGAGCAGAGTCACAATTGGGCATGATAACTGCGGTGTCAGTTCTGGCTGGTTTTGTGAGAAGGTGAGAACAGGTCAAAGTCTTTAGGCAACTCTCAAATTATTTCTCATTTGCAGTCTGCCCTGGACAACCAAATCAGTTTTAAAATTCTACTTTTATTTAGATTACAATATCTCCAGTGTATTAAGTCAATATTATGCATAATGCATGCTATGAGACTGATTGCCACTAATATATGTTAGATGCATAAATCAATCCCTCATTAATTGGGTCAATTGCTCATTTGCTGTCACAAAGAGAGAGAGTATTTTCTGCTCAGCACAGAAGCACTGTTAGATGCTTGCATAATGCGTATTGAAGAAATGCAATTTTGTGTTGTATTCAGAGCTTCTAAGTTAAGATCCAGATTCAAACTTGCCCGATGTTTAGGGGTTGTTGTGATCTTGGGTTTTGGGTGGGTCCAGAACAGGGAAAGGGGTCAACCACATCACTTTATTAGGGGTCCAAATTTGGGCTTTTCAGATCTATGGGTTTGTGTCTATGCCCATCTCTAACTGTGTTCTGCCATGAGATTGTCAGCTCTTAATCTAGTTTGCCAATAAAGGGACAACTTTCCCTAGGTGATGGAAGGCCATGTGGTTTCTCTGGGAAGTGATGTAGTTTAGCAGTGGAGACACCTGAATCATTTGCATAACTTGGGTCTCCTGCCAATCATTGAAAAATGTGGCTGCCTAATCCTCAGTCCACCTGGGCTGTTGAATTGAAAATGAAAGATGCATGCAACAGGCCCCTGTCATTGACTTCAGTGGCTCCTGGTACATCCTGCAACCCCCACTTCTCAAGCCCATGTCTTTGGAGGATGAGCAATTGACCCTTTTCTCCTTCCAGACTCTACAGTGGTGTTTGGCCTCTGCTTGGTTGCCACATGTCAATACACCCCAAGAAGAATCTTCTGGGGGAGTAGGAGGGCAGAAACCATTTGTTGCACTCATAATTGGACAAGAAACAGCCTGTTGTTTTTTTCTGATGACTTCCCAAAGAGCCTAACTTTTCACAGAAGACTCACAACTCCTTGCTCAGTTGTTACCTTAGCTGTGGCAGGTTTCAGACACCTCTAATTTGGGCTGCTAGTGAAAGGAACTGGATAACTGGACTTTCTTTCCTTGACTTCTTTTCCTAGGTGGTGGTTTATTGCCCATTCACTGGCATTGAACAAACCTTTCTTTGTGGAAAATGGCTGGATGAAGATGAAGGAGATGGACTGATAGAACGGGAGCTCTATGAAATGGTCTCTTTGCGCCAGAAGAGACTAAAAAGTATGTATAGTGGCAGATAGGGCACAAGCAGATTCCTTCTACCCTCAAACTTGGATGCTACCTATCCTGACACAATACAGGTAGTCTGTTCTGCAAGGCAGAGGCCTAGGTAATGCAGTGATCAAAGCTCTCAGGTCTTGCTTTAATTCCAGTTTGAGACATTGAGATGGACATGGGTTTGCGGGTTTCAAGAAATTAAACTTTTAAAATATCGTAAAGGAATGCACCAGTTTTCTTATGTAGAAGAATTATGGGCTTCTCAGGTTGGGTCACTGGCCATGAAAAGAGTCCCTATAGCACCTTTACACTGTAAGCATGTTAGATCTAGAGTTGTTCTCCCTATAATATTAAAACCTGATCTGCTAGTGAAGCTGAATACCCTCCCCAACTCCCACCCCAGGGCATCCTAAAAAAATGGAAAAGAGGAAAAATAAAAGAAGCAACCATTGTTGTTGATTTTACACAGCTTGCAAACCTTATTTTTCACTTAGGGTGGGTAGGACAGGAGTAAAAAGTCCAATAGTATTTTGTCATCTTGACCAACTGCAGAATGTGCCTCTCCAGGTAGCAAAGTTAAGCATTTGATCCCCCTGCATTAGAGGGAGGCATGCTCAAAGGCATTTGGCTCAGTGTGCCATTCCATCTAGCAGAGGGCAATATGGTAGCAACATGGTTCAAGACCTGTTTGGTGTCTTTGCAGCAAGAAGGGAGTTCCTACTATTTCGTCCTCATTAGAATGTACATGTAAGCAAAACATTTTAATTAACAAAATAGATGCTATTTAATCAGGATGTCTCCGTGGATTCCAGTTTGTCCTGTTTAAGCAGCAGTTTCATTTAAACTAAGTTTATCTAAATGTTATTTAATGTTATCGTCGCATTATGTCTCTGACGCAGTCCATTCAACTAAAGCATTTATGACCTTTAACTGCCATATTATCAACTCTGATTGTTATTGACAGGGTAATTCCGTGGTTGCTATTGTATGCGAGATGGGCAGAGAACATTAGCCTTGAGAAATCTGTGCCCTTTAAATGCCACATTAAAGAATTGTAGAAGCTGAAGATGGGGAAAACCTCTTATGTCATCCAGCCCATCAGCTTGCCAGTGCAGAATTGTTCCCTACTGTACATTTATTGGAGTATTGTTCAAACTCATTTTAAATGTCCACAGAGACAAGTCTGCCTGCACTGCTTTTGGAAGAGTTTTCCACAGACTAATAGATCTCACCGTTAGGAAGCTTTTCTTGCTGTACAACCAAAAATTTTCCTTCCTTAATTTTATTCTGGAACCCTTTGCACCAAATGATTCCTGTCTCTCTTTGGTGCTTATATCCAGAAGAATCTCTGCTTACCAAACCCTGCTTATGAGAACCTCCTTGCTATCCAAACACCCTGTGTCACTTGATGTGGAGGGAGGTTTGGACAGGAGATGAGTAGGGTAACAGCCTGAAGACTTCAGATTTATAGAGCCACTAAGATCTGCAAAGATGTGGCAAATGTTTGGGGAACTCCTAATCTCCTCTGACAGCTCCATCCAGACTCTGTGCTTGGTTCCTTCTTCTTCGACCCCTTTAGTCCCCTGGCAACCAAATAATCACTGGGTTTTGCAGTCTGTTACTGTCCAATTTTTATAAGTTCCTGGCTAATTTGCTTTTACGAATTACACCTGTGCAATGTACAACTACAGTAAGGCATGGATCTATGCCACTCCAAGTGTTGTATACCACTGTTATACCAAAGGTAACTCAACCAATCAACACCCTTACTTTGCAGCTAATTTGTGTGCAACAATTTCATTGGTTGAGGGAGACTGCACACATGATGGATTAGATGGCCCAACTGCCACACCCATGTACCCAACTGCCACACACACAAATCAACACAAATCACCCAGCACAACCCACCTCATCTAGACACATATCGACACAATCATTTAGACAGCACAACCAGTATACACATGTAGCCCCTTATGGCAGCACACACCGCTTATTTGCTGCCTGCACAAATCCACATAACCCTCCCAGCATACCACAACCCTCATACAACGACACAACCTTCACACACTATAACCCCAAACTCACATAGTTCCTCACCACAGCGCACACCCCTCATTTGCTATCCACACAAATCAACACAACTCTCCCAGCACAACACAACCCACACACAAAACAACCCAACCACCCACACAACAGCACAACCAACACACAAAATAACCCCACACATCACTCTGAAGCCTAGATTGTCTGTTAAATCAGTGTGAAGTGATACAAACAGACACAAGCATGGCCAGGAGCTCTTTTGGTCTGTTACTGTCCAGTTTTTAAGTTCTCAGACATTTTTGGCTTTTTTACACATGACTTTACAAACTACAACAGCACAGGCTTTCAGCTGCTACTTATAGTTTAAAGGGAGTCACATGGTTAAATCTCCATGCAATGCATGGACACCTTATTCCTGTATGACTATAGGTACCCAATTATCTATATACCTAAGAGGATAAAAGGCCTGAATTTTCCTCATATAAATACACAGCCTCCTCTTGTCCTAGTGAAGTTATAGGAATGTTTGTACCAGCATGTTTTGATATTTTTATTTGCTGTTTTGTTTATAAAATGGTTTGAATCTTCTTTGTAGAAAATCCCTGGTCACTTTGGATCTGGACAAGTGACATTAAGAATGCAGGGACAGATGCCAGCATCTTCCTCCAGATTTACGGAGACAAGGGGAAGTCAGATGAAATGAAACTGGACAACAATTCAGACAACTTCGAATCTGGACAAACTGACAAGTTCACGGTCAGAACTTTGCATTTGTGGTGGAAGGACTTGACTGCGGTTCTCTTAGGGTGAATTTTACCCCTTTGCAGAGGGCCAGCAGCCCAAGGCCTATACACCAATTAAATCCCACTTTAAGCTTTAGACAAATCCTCAGCTGATGTAAATAGGTATAATTCCATTGACTTCCATGGAGACACGAAGATTTACACCAGCTGAGGATCTGGCCCAAGTTCTTAAAATAGGGCTTATGGCTGTTCCGGCGCTGGTGACTTGAAGAAATGATTGTGTATTGATTGCGTATTGCATAGTATGTTCCCTCCAGAGCTCCAGGCTATATCCTCAGCTGACGTAAATTGGCACAGCTCCATTGACTCCAGTTCATTTGCTGCACCCATTTCTGCCAGTGGAGGAGATGGTCCATTATGCCTGCAGAGGTGAGGAACACGCACAGTACCTCCAGTGGTGCTGGGGTGCGTGGAGCTCATGGACCAACAGCTCTTGTTAGAACCTTGGGAAGAGCAGTCTATCCACATTCCGTGCAGCACTAGCTTCTTTGCACTTGCACAAGTGTGACTGTCATGGCTATTAGTATGCTTAGGAATAGTTTGTGTACAGTGCCAAAAAGTGCTCTGGGCTCTATAAAGAACAAGTAGCAGACAAGGTTCCTGTCCCAAATAGTTTATAGTCTTAACCTGGCCATGTCTCCAGTCTCCTTGGACATGTTCCTCAAAGAGTAACCAGGACTGATGTCAATATTGCCTGCAGAGTTGGGGTTGGGTAAGAGCTTCCTGTGCATGCTAGTACCCCTAATTCCTTGACATGCTTGCATTTGACTGGCTATGACACGTCCTTAAAACTTAGTTATGGGTTGTCCAGAAGAAGGTTAAAAAGCAAAGAGTTACTTACCCTGTTGTAACAATAATTCCTCTATCTAGCTGAAGCTGTAGCCTTCTCACAGAAAGAAGTGCATATGTTTTGGAGGCTTTGTTTGTTTGTTTCCCACAGTATTCTTGTCAGCAAGTTAAGGAAGTATGGGCTGGATGAATGCACTATAAGGTGGGTAGAAAGCTGGCTAGATTGTCGGGCTCAACGGGTAGTGATCAATGGCTCCATGTCTAGTTGGCAGCCGGTATCAAGTGGAGTGCCCCAAGGGTCGGTCCTGGGGCCGGTTTTGTTCAATATCTTCATAAATGATCTGGAGGATGGTGTGGATTGCACTCTCAGCAAATTTGCGGATGATACTAAACTGGGAGGAGTGGTAGATACGCTGGAGGGGAGGGATAGGATACAGAAGGACCTAGACAAATTGGAGGATTGGGCCAAAAGAAATCTGATGAGGTTCAATAAGGATAAGTGCAGGGTCCTGCACTTAGGATGGAAGAATCCAATGCACCGCTACAGACTAGGGACCGAATGGCTAGGCAGCAGTTCTGCGGAAAAGGACCTAGGGGTGACAGTGGACGAGAAGCTAGATGTGAGTCAGCAGTGTGCCCTTGTTGCCAAGAAGGCCAATGGCATTTTGGGATGTATAAGTAGGGGCATAGCGAGCAGATCGAGGGACGTGATCGTTCCCCTCTATTCAACATTGGTGAGGCCTCATCTGGAGTACTGTGTCCAGTTTTGGGCCCCACACGACAAGAAGGATGTGGATAAATTGGAGAGAGTCCAGCGAAGGGCAACAAAAATGATTAGGGGTCTAGAACACATGACTTATGAGGAGAGGCTGAGGGAGCTGGGATTGTTTAGCCTGCAGAAGAGAAGAATGATGGGGGATTTGATAGCTGCTTTCAACTACCTGAAAGGGGGTTCCAAAGAGGATGGCTCTAGACTGTTCTCAATGGTAGCAGATGACAGAACGAGGAGTAATGATCTCAAGTTGCAGTGGGGGAGGTTTAGATTGGATATTAGGAAAAACTTTTTCACTAAGAGGGTCGTGAAACACTGGAATGCATTACCTAGGGAGGTGGTAGAATCTCCTTCCTTAGAGGTTTTTAAGGTCAGGCTTGACAAAGCCCTGGCTGGGATGATTTAACTGGGAATTGGTCCTGCTTCGAGCAGGGGGTTGGACTAGATGACCTTCTGGGGTCCCTTCCAACCCTGATATTCTATGATTCTATGATTCTATGAACAGCTGTGGAGGATTCAGACAAGAATAATGCCGTGAGATGAAGGTGCTCCAAATATTATAGCTGACAGCCCTTATTCAGATGATTTATTCAGGGGACAGTGGATTCTCCTCAGTGTCCAACAGTGAACAGCTCAGGCCAATACAGGAGGATCTGGATGACCTTGTAAACTGGAGTAATAGTAATAGGATGAAATTTAATAGTGAGAAGTGTAAGGTCATGCATTTAGGGATTAACAAGAATTTTAGTTATAAGCTGGGGATGCATAAATTAGAAGTAACAGAGGAGGAGAAGGACCTGGAGTATTGGTTGATCATAGGATGACTATGAGCTGCCAATGTGATATGGCTATGAAAAAAGCTAATGCGGTCTTGGGATGCATCAGGAGAGGTATTTCCAGTAGGGATAAGGAGGTTTTAGAACCGTTATAAAAGGCACTGGTGAGACCTCACCTGGAATACTGTGTGCAGTTCTGGTCTCCCATGTTTAAGAAGGATGAATTCAAACTGGAACAGGTAAAGAGAAGGGCTACTAGGATGATCCAAGGAATGGAAAACTTGTCTTATGAGAGGAGACTCAAGGAGCTTGGCTTGTTTAGCCTAACTAAAAGAAGGTTGAGGGGAGATATGATTGCTCTCTATAAATATATCAGAGGGATGAATACCGGAGAGGGAGAGGAATTATTTAAGCTCAGTACCAATGTGGACACAAGAACAAATGGATATAAACTGGTCATTGGGAAGTTTAGACTTGAAATTAGACGAAGGTTTCTAATCGTCAGAGGAGTGAAGTTCTGGAATAGCCTTCCAAGGGAAGCAGTGGGGGCAAAAGATTTATCTGGCTTTAAGATTAAACTTGATAAGTTTATGGAGGAGATGGTATGATGGGATAACATGGTTTTGGTAATTAAATATTCATGGTAAATAGGCCCAATGGCCTGTGATGGGATATTAGATGGGGTGGGATCTGAGTTACCCAGGAAAGAATTTTATGTAATATCTGGCTGGTGAATCTTGCCCATATGCTCAGGGTTCAGCTGATCGCCATATTTGGGGTTGGGAAGGAATTTTCCTCCAGGGCAGATTGGAAGAGGCCCTGGAGGTTTTTTGCCTTCCTTTGTAGCATGGGGCACGGGTCACTTGCTGGAGGATTCTCTTCTCCTTGAAGTCTTTAAACCACAATTTGAGGACTTCAATAGTTCAGACATAGGTGAGAGGTCTATCGCAGGAGTGGGTGGGTGAGATTCTGTGGCCTGCATTGTGCAGGAGGTCAGACTAGATGATCATAATGATCCCTTCTGACCTTAGTATCTATGAATGATTGTCCCCACATTGGTTTCTATGCAGTCCTCCTCATCTGGAAAATGTTGGCTCTGATGTTGGGGCTCTAGGTGTGCAACACCAGGAGAACACGGTGTATGGGTGTGTGTCAGTATCCTATCTAAGGCAGAACTCCAAACTATGGCAGAAAATTCTACTCCATGCCGTGACTTCAGTGACTTTCATGACTAAGGGTTGCAGGATTCCGACCTTACGTTATTTATCATGAAAGTAAATTCACCAAGCTGTCATTGCAGTGTAGAGAATGATACCTTTCTAACAGCATTCATTCTCAGCTCCTGTTCTTCCTCCTGTTGACCCTCATTGGAAGCTGTGGATTACAGGAGGTTTTAAAGAGCAATGTATGTGCCTTGCTGAGTTATGTAATGTGCCGTTTTGGGTATGTTTGTGTTTGTTTATGTAGATTGAGCTCCCTGATCTGGGCACATTTTATAAGCTCCGGATATGGCATGAGAAGAGGAGTCCTTTTGCTGGCTGGCATCTAGACAAGGTGAGATGATGGAAAGGCAGACTGCACCTGAAAAAGCCAAGTCCGCTTTCAATGGAGCAAGTCATCCTCTCTTGTCGCCAAGACAAGAGACATTTTACAGACAATATGCTGTGCTAATGAGCAAGCAGCTGCATTCAGTATGCTATGGTCTGATATTAGGAGTCTGAATTGGTATCTCCATTTACAAGAGTGTGTGGAGCTGCTGTGCAATGGATCAGGATCTGGGGAGTCTGCATGGAAGGTGCATGCGCTCTGCATATAGCAGAGCACAGCTCCACTGGGGCTCCCTGCATGCCTTTGTCTAGCCCAGCTGTGTGGGATACCAAGTGGAAAAGAGGGAGCATGGCTGGTGGATAGGCTGCTACAAAGGCACACTGAATATTGTCCCCTTCTGAGTAGGGGTGCGGGTGCTGCAGGAGATACCACAACTTTCCAGTGCAGTAGTAGCTAGAGAGTGACTCCTGTTGGTGTTTCATGGGTTTTGGGAAAGGATTCCTTCTCCTCTCAGCTCCATGGCAGTTCCCCTCCCACCACCCCACCCCACGCCACCCCAGTATTCAGCCCAGCCACTTTGGCTGTCGGATTGCAAGAAAACTTACCCTCAGAAATGGGAACTGTTTCCAAGTCCTTTGTTTAATCTGAGCCGATTCCCGAGGAAGTTTTGGTGCTGTGCTCAGGTCCTGATGGCAGGAGGGGAGAGAGGAGTGCCCCTCATTGTTCCTAACTCCCGCCAAGTTAGAGGTCCTGGATTTCACATATAATTCTTTTAGCACTAGCCAGTCTGAGGACTAGAAGCTAGCCCAGTCTTCATTGCAGGGGACTAAGATTTCAGTGGGGATTTGGGTCTCCTGCTACTTCATGAAGATGACACGTTGGGTAGCAGGTGCGGAAAGGAATGTGTGTAGATCAGCCCACTCTTGTAGCATTTACTGTGATAAGTAAGCCAAGGAATAGTAATGGGGCAGGAAGCCAGCAGTCTAATATTCCTGTCGAGTGCAGTCACTGCAGGAGATGAGAGGCATGGAAAATGGCAGCACCCAACAGCCTGGACTTCAGTGCCTGAAGGGTACATCCCTTCTCCCCGTCTTACACAGACAACTATATTCCCCCCTTGCCTGCAGTATAGATATGCTTTCCTGGGGCTCTCAGACACATTATCTTATGCAGCAGGACCCGCAAGCAAGTGCCTTCCCAGCCTGTTTTGGCTGACTGTTAAGAGAAAAAGATTCCTAACAGCGAGGTCTGGGAGGGTGTGACACAGTCTCCCAATGGATAATGCTGGAAGCCCCACGCTTCAAATCAGTCATTTACATCTTCAGTGAGGGAAACAGTGGGGGCTGTGCTTTAGAGGGCACCCCTGTCCTGTCTGGGGGGGATAAACGATAACCTACTAAAAAATCTTTACTCATTTCTTATTTCTCTCACTCAGCCAGCACTAGTTCTCTTTGTTACTTATCCAGCAGGAAAATGTTCTTGTGAAGAAGGGTCTAGTTTGTTTCTCCATTACTTTGACACTGAATATGATGCTGTCAGCCTTTGCCTAGGTCTGGAGGCATGGAGTTCATCCCTAAGCTTTATTCTATCAGCCAAAAAATGCAGCATGCTGTCACTAGGCCACCAGACCAGCTCTGGATCGCTTGGAAGATTGTGCCGAAGAAAACATTCATTTCACACTACAGCCATAAATAACAGTGATTCGCCATTTACCATTTAATAAGGTCACATTGTTTATTCTTTAGTATCTCTAATGCAATTGGGCTGGACTCTGCCCTCTTTCACACTGAGGAAGCCGTACATGCTTAGGCAGGTTCTAGTTGAGCTAGTAAACTGTGAAATATTACAGATCATACTAGTTCTGAAGATACATGCAGAGTTATTCATGCTTCATGAGCCTTTGCTTGCTGTCGCTTTTTCTCCTGAAGGAGGGGATGATGCCATACTGAGGAGGAATCCCCATTTTGTCACTCTGAGGGACTCCATTCACTCTCTTCACTGCCTGCTGTGAGCAATAAGTGGGGCTGCTGTGGGAATATATCATCTTTATATCAGATGGAATGGTCTTGTCTTGCTCCCGCCAGGACACTCCCTCATTTAAGTGAGGGAGCTCTTGAGTAACCCCAGTGGGCAGCTAGGAATGTTTAGAATGGGTTCTGGAAGGTTTTGTATTCAGTCCTCCATCACAAGGGCAAGGAATACACCGTGGGGAATGATGGGATTCCAGAGGACCCTCAGCTAGTTGCCTTAAGATAATTATTGGACTCTGGGAAATGACATGTTCCCACAATAGATTTATCTTGGTGTGCCGTTCTTTGGAGCATAAGCAAATGCAGCCTCTTTGTGGAGCACCTGAAAGAATCTGGAGGTCACCAGGATTCACTAGAGCTGGTGGGACCATTTTGCACTTGACCATTTCTACATTTAGTGCAACTGAGATGTCTATCCTGGCTTCTGCCCCAGAGTCTGTGTGTTACAGTGCCTGGGTTCTGGACCATGTTGCTTCACCATAGAAACACTCAACTCAGCATGTATGAAGTCGGCAGCACCACCGAAACTATCTACTGTTGGGTTTCATACTGGCACCCATCACCGTAGTTTCTGAGTGCCTCCAAGGTCAAATGAATTGGCATGGCAAGATCCCTACTGGAGTTCATGGAGTTTCCAGCTCCTCCTCTTCGCTAACAGGAAGATCTGTGTTGGGTAACTTTTTTCAGGGAGGGTGGAAGGTTGAGGATTTTTTTGCATGGGGATTGTTGTTGTAACTATCATTCTGGTCAGTCTTTATCAAACAGAGAAGTCTTGCAGCATGAATTTACGGGTAGTCAGATTCTGGGTGTCCAGTCTTCTCTGCTAGTTTGTTCCATAGCTATTTCCCTTGACCAAGAACACCTTATTTCCAGCTCTCTCACACTTCTTCCTGGCTTTGTGATCTGCATTGTCTCAGAAGACTAAAACTGCAGCTGTCTCGGCAGTTTGTAGATGATGATGTAGTCTCTAATATAACTGGGACCTAAACTACTAATAATGTTCAAGGTCCTGAACTGGAAGTGGACTCAGACTGTGAGCCAGTGGAGGGACTGAAGCACAGAGACCTAGTCTACAGAGAAGCCAGGCCTCTACATTTTATACAAGCTGGAGTCTTTGTGTTGTTTTTGTCTTCAAGTTCAGGTTCAGGTGAATTGCCGTAACCCGGCCTGGAGGTGACAAATGCATAGATTGCCAGGGCGATGTCCTTGTCTGGGAGGAAGGGGTGGCATTTCTTAGCAAGCTGGACATGGGGAAAAAATGTTTTTTGTCATGGATTCTAGGTGATCCTCTAGGGTATCACGATGTGTCAAACAAGACCCCAAGGTCCCAGATCACTTTCTGATGAATGGGGATGAAGGGGTGTGTGCCTGCAATGGGAGATGAGGACAATCTCCCAGCATGTTCTTCAACGTGTTTAACCCTGCTGACCAGCGTGACTTTGGTCTCACCTGGTTGAGTTTGAGCCTGCTACTTTTTACCCTGGAGATGATCTTTTCCAGGCTTGTGGCATCATAGCAGCAACAGGACTAGTATGCAGATGGTGCCTCCTTCCCCTGTGCCATGTGGCCTTGGGGAAAGACTGCAGAGAGCAGCCAACCAGAGATTCCAGCTGGGAGGGGCAGAAGCAGCCAAGCAGGGACCTCTGGACCTTAGACATTCAGCGCAGTTTCTATAGTTTTAACTGGACTTTCTCCTCCCTGTGCCGATTGGCTGGTTGTTCCAACCCTCCCCCTCTCTCCCTCACAGTCCCTTGACCTCAGCTCCAGTCCACATCTGTCCCCCTTACCCTCTCCTCCTCGGCCCCCTTCCTTTCCTTTTCTTTCTGTTTAGCTGATCCCCTCCTAACTAACTCCCTTTACCCCCCAAATTAGTGGAACTAATATGTTGATTATTATTATCTATTTGTATTGCCAGAGCACCTAGGAGCCCCAAGCACAGACCAGGACCCCATTGTGCCAGGTGCTGTACAAACGCAGAACACAAAAACAGAGCTGACACTCTAAGTCTAAATAGAAGACGTGAGACAACAAATGGATACAGACAGACAAATGGGGGAGTACAAGGAAACAATGAGGCAATATTGGTCAGCGTTGTAGGCAGTAGCGTCAGCACACCAGCCACCTCTAACTGATGTCAAGTTTTGTGTAGGTCTTACAGCAAAGGAGAGTTTTAAGGAGATTTTGAAGGAAGATAATGAGTTAGTGGTGGGGAGCTCCTCCCAAGTGGGACGGGAAGTGCTGGAGAAAGCACAAAGATGCTTGTTTGACAGTGTAACAAATGGGCGATGGAGGCTGGCGTCATGGGCTGATTGGAGGCGGGAGTCAAACTTTCGATACTGGATGAGAGATAAAAGGTAGGGTGGGGTCAGGTCATAAAAGGCACTGAACATGAAAACAACTCGCTTATGTTTGATGTGGTAGAGCAGGGGGAGCCGGTGGAGGGATGCTGAGAGAGGGGTGACACAGTCAAAGTGATGGGCTAGAAAATGATCTTTACAGCAGCATTCTGAATGGATATGAACATAGCAAGATTGCATTTGTCCAGGCCAGAGAAAAGGCTGTTGCAGTAATCATGACACAAGGTGATGAGAGCCTGGACAAGAACTTTAGCTGTTGTAGAAGGACAGGAAAGGCTGTATTTTAGCAATGTTATGCTGAAAGAATCAGCAAGATTTAGATGTAGCCTGGATACGAGGGCTTAACGAGAGGTCCTAGTTGAAGATGACCCCCAGGTTTCAGGCATGACTGACTGGCAGAATGGTGGAGTTGTCTGTGGTGATTGAGAAAGGAGATAGCAGGGAGGGGTTCGGAGGGAAGATGAAGAGTTCTGAGATGATGGGAGCCATGTTTTAGCTATGTTTTCCCACCACCACATTGTTCACTCTGCTTCTGTTTTATACTCTTACCCTCACTCTGTGTCTTCTTGTCTATTGATATTGTAAGATCTTCAGGGCAGAGACCATCTACTACTCTGTGTTTGTACAGCACCTAGCACAATGGGGCCTCATTCTTGGTTGGCCCTGAGGCCCTATGTAATAAACACAGGTAAGTCATGTGGGTAGCACATTTGTCAATGAAACCATGTAGAAAATGTTGAGGACAGCAGTTCATGACATTTCTTATTCCATGAGGCTGCTGGGTGGGAGGTCGTCACACTGGAAGATGGGCTGGACTAACGAAGGAGGAGAAAAGCTACTCAGGGAAAATGGGATTTTTTTTCCTTCCAGATTCGGAGTATCAGTAGTACTTTAAATAGTTATCCTCGTTATTTCTTAGTAAAGATAAGCCCAAGCTGCGAAGTTTAGATGGCCTTTCAGCACTGGACATTATTTTCATCACCAAGCCACCACCCTCTCCCCATTCATATCTCTCCTACAGACTCACATCTTCATGATACATAACCCAACAATAATGGTTACATTTAAACAAAAATCCCAGTCATTCCACCCAGTGTGTCTTGCCTGTTCTGCGTTTTTCTGCTTTGAACTTGCAATCTGTATGATTGCATGAATTATCTGTATGTTATCTCTATGTTGTCTGTATAGTGCTGCTGGGTGTAGTGTGAGCACATAAGAAATTCTGAATAATAATGAGCTTGATCAAAACTTTTTTCCAAGTTTTTTGGGGGAGGGCAGATGTGATTGAATCAACGGTTTTGCCTTGAGGAGAGTGGAGAAGAAAAGGAATGAAAAGGACTCAGATTTGACAGATGTTAACCTCTTTGTTCAATGTCCTAATTCTGGTAGGTGCTCATATACCACAACGATGAGCATAGTACGCAAATCTGAATAGGTTCGCTAATTATTAATACTTATTCTTTCATTGCTCTGAACCTACCCTTCCTCCCCTAGCAGAGCTTATTAGGAGCTTGTCATTTTTGTTTTTAAGCCTGTGAACTCATGTGGTGTTTCGGTTTAATTAAGATAACTCTGCTGAAAACGCTGACAAAAGAGAAATATACGTTCAACTGTGGCCGTTGGCTGGATATAAATGAAGACGACAATGAGATCATCAGGGAGCTCCCTGCGGAGGGACCTCTAGTGACTGAAGTCATGCCAGGTAAGAATCAAGGACTCCTTATAGAGGCTTGTTTAGTGACTGAATAGAAATAAATCCTCTTTGTTTCAGTGATGCACAGATAGACCTGTGCAATTCAATTAGCCTCTTTTTTTGGCACTGATTTTCCAGTGGGATTTTATTTTTGCACCATTAACTGCACAAAGTGTTTGAAATTGTAGGCTCTGTTTTGAGCCGACTTAACAATAGAGATGGGAAAGATCAGGCCAGAATACAGTTGTTTCTTAAAGTATATTTTCTTTCTTCTCATGCAATTTCCATTCCGTTTTTAAATGGAAAGTACAAGATTTGAATGTTTGTGTGTGTATAAAAATATTTAAATGCTTAACTGAAATGAGGTCTAAAAAGTTTTGTAAAGATATATATACCAAAAGGGTGTACGCTATATTTTTATACGTACACACACAAGGAAATGGGCACCTTTCGTACATGCAAGTACTCAATACATGTTTATCACCTGTAGCTTTAATTAAGGAGCTTAACAGGACTCCATTTATTCAAGAAGAATTCCATCCTATTGCTTTTAGAACTGAATCACTGAGTACAACCTCTCAACTGTATTTCGTAAGCATTAAACTTACTTAACAGAGACTTTCCATGGGGGAAGGGAGGAGGATACCTCACATCTACTTGCTGTGGGGTTTCCTGTACCTTCTTGCGCCTCTCTAGCATCTGGTGCTGGTCATTGTTGGAGACAGGACACTGGACTAGGTGGACCATGAGTCTGATCTCATATGGAAATTTTGATCTCGTATGGAACTCAGTGATCTGTAAGCAGCTGAGTGCTCCTCTAAAGATGAAGAATAATTGTAATTGCAAATGTTATTAAAATGTCACACTGGTTTTGAAATTTATTTTTAATCAGCTATGAAGAGGAGGCCTGAATTTAAAAAGTTTATTTGTTAGGGAGCACCTGGTGATGCTGTTTTAGTTCTACTGTTCACCTGAGTTTCAGGCTTGAGCATTTAATGTGCCTAAACTTGCATGTAGGCGTCTAAGGGCTAGATTATGAAAGACTGTGCTCAGAGTAGTTATTAATGGTTTACTGTCAAACTAGGAGGATGGATCTAGTGGGGTCCTGATAGGACTTAGTCTTGGCTCCGGTACTCAATATTTTCATTAATGACTTGGATAACAGAGTGACATGTATGCTTATAACATTTGTGAGTGACAACAAGCTGGAAGGGGTTGCAAGCACTTTGGAGGGTTCAAAATGATCTTGATAAATTGGAGAACTGGTCTGAAATCAATAATATGAAACGCTATTAAACGAAAAATACTACACTGAGGAAGGAAAAATCCAGTACATAAATATAAAATGGCGAATAACTGACTAGGTAGCGGTACAGAGGAAGAGGATCTGGAGGGTTATAGAGGATCACAAATCCAATATGCGTCAACAGCATGATGCTGCTGTGGAAAAGGAAAATGTCATTGTGGAAATTATTAACAGGAATATCACATACAAGACATGGGAAGTGATTGTTCCACTTTACTCAGTACTGGTGAGGCCTCAACTGGAGTACTGTGCCCAGTTGTGGGCACCATACTTTAAGAAAGATGTGAACAAGCCAGAGAGAGTCAAAAGGAGAGCAACAAAAATTGAAAGAGAATTAGAAAACATGGAAGGTTGAAAGAAATCAGGCATGTTTAGAGAAGAGAAGGCTAAAGGGAGATTTGATAACAGTTTTCAAATATGTAGAAGATTGTTATAAATAGGATTGTGATCAATTGTGCTCCATGTCCACTGATGGTAGGACAAGAAGTAATCAGCTCAGTTTGCAGCAAGGGAAATTTAGGTTGGATATTAGAAAAAAAATTAAACTCTAAGGATAGTTAAACACTGGAACAAGTCTTCTAGGTTGGGTGCGTTCATGGCTGATTCCCCACTCTTGCACTTCACTGCAAGGATTTTAAAAATTAATACTGGCCACTCCAGGCTTGTATTAAACCACCAAGGTTACAGCTTTTCTCTGACCTTGGATGGGTAGATGCTGCCACCACCCAACTGCAAAAACCCCTTTGAGAACCCAGGAAGGCGCACTTGGGAATTCTTTCTTGTGGGGTACCCTCAAGCCCTTTCACCACCCTGACCCCCAACCGCGGAAGAGCTGAGAAAGAAAACAAAGGAAATCAGCTGTTGCCACCAGATAATTAAACAACATGTGCACAAACCTCTTAGGACACAAAAAATCCAATCCTGTTCTTAAAAAAGGTAAATTTTATTAAGAACAAAAAAGAAAGAAAGTACATCTGGAAACTTAGGCTATTGGTAGATTTAAAAAAAACAAATACAAAAATTAAGAATCAAGAATAGCTTCCTTGAGGGCCAGCTTAAAGGTTACAAGCAAAACAAAACCACCTGGGGTTAGCACAGAGGAGTCCACAAGCTATAAAGAAATAAACAGAGACAAACCTAATCGCGTCTTCCTAGACATTTCCTGATCTACTTACGTATCTGGGATTTTAAATGAGTAGTTTCTAGGTATGATCTGATGATTTTTCATACCTGGCCCAAGCTCTTACAGCATTGCTGCTCCCTGTCCCTTCTCTCCGGGAGAACCAAACAGACAGACAAAGGGAAAGTTTTTTTTCCAATTTTAAAAAAGTTTTAGCCTTCCCATTGGCTCTTTTGGTCAGGTGCCCACTCCCTTCCTTTTACCTATGAACTTTTTAACCCTTTACAGGTAAAGCAAGTAGAGAACAGCTACTAAGAGGAATTTTATAACTAACTGGCTGGCTGGGGGTGCATAAAAGGAAGCTACCCCTTACCCCACTTCATTTATCACAGGTGCAGAATCCCTGTCATTGGAACAGGGTTAGATAAACACTTGTCAGAAATACTTAAACACACTTAATCCTGCCTCACCCCTGGGGGATGGACTGCATGACATCTTGAGGTCCCTTCCAGCCCTACATTTCTATGTTTCTGTGATAAAATGCTTTGAGGTCCTCAGCTGCAAGACACTACAGGGTGAAAATTTTTATTGCTGCTTCTTTAGGGCTTGAGAAGAATGTAGGCGTTATATGTGTTATCATTAGGACTGTTATACATATATCTGTGGGCTTGGTGGTTATTGTATTTGCTCGTTAATGGGTAACAAAGAGTTAAATCAGCCTTAGTTAGCTTTGCAGGAACCAAATCTCAATGGCTGGAGACAGCCCCAGTAATCTGTACTCAAACAGACAATGGAGGTGATAATGCCTTTGAGGTGTACCTCCACTAATGTGAAATCAGCATCTGGATGGTTTCAGGGATGAGGGCAGGGAGAGATTCCAGTTTAAGGGGGTTTTAGTCCGAAACTCTCAAACAAAGAGCTAGAAAGTGGTTAAAAAGCTGTTCCTCTGAGGAGACAGGGAGACACATGGTCTACAGGCTTCAGAGTAGCAGCCATGTTCCAGAAAATCAGGCTGCAACTCGGTTCCCAGGAAACCGGGGTGGGGGTACCGAGGCTAAATCAGGCCAGTCCAATTGCATGAGGCAAATGTTAAATTTAGGTTAGACAACGTATGTTAGGCTGCTGTTGTTTTAACCCTTTTCCTGTGTTCCTATGGATGAATAAATTATAACAGCACTTGCTCTGCTATAGTTAAGATTAAAACCTTCTTTCTGTTTAAAGCTCGACTGTTCTAAGTGCTCTAAAATCTATATGGTTAATCAGATTACCTTGAAATTTGGTGTGCCTTATGGGGGCATAAGGTATGGTCAGTGAGCTATATTTGTGGCCATTTGACTAAGGGGTTCCTGAGATACAGCCCCCAGAAAAAAATCCGATGAAGTGAGCTGTAGCTCACGAAAGCTCATGCTCAAATAAATTGGTTAGTCTCTAAGGTGCCACAAGTACTTCTTTTCTTTTAACTATCTAGAAAGACACCTTTCCATCACAATACCTGGGTGACTCTGACGCTATGTTACAGTCATTTAATCTGAACTGTGCCTTATGTACTCTGAGTTCAAATCCATCCAAGGGCAGAAATCTGAAGTAAAAGAAGCAGCATATTGCTCCAATCTGCTCCAATCAAAGGGGGGTATTTGTTTGGGGGACATGTTATCTGAATACAGCAGAATAATCAAATGCTGCTGAAACTATTTTTAGAAAAGAAAAGAAATTAAGCAAGCAAATGCTGGTTGAGAGGGGAGGGTGATGAGGGTTAGAAGAGTAAGTGGGAATGGGGGAGTTGGGGAGGGGATGGGGACTGGGACAGTGGGAGGAAACGGTGGGACACTGGGAAGGCGGACATGAGGGTGAGTGATAAAGTGAATGGGACAGAATAGGGACAGGTGTGCTTGTCAGCCCCACATTCCCCTCCCATGTGTGTGTCATGATCTGGGCCCCTCACCCACCAGCCTATCTACACAGGTATAACCCCATTCCTTGCTCCCATCATGTGAGCCGTGTTCTGGAGGGGGCTTGTCTATCTGGGGAGTTTGAGTCTCCTCTCCTTATTTTCCCATGTGAGCTGGGATATGGGAGTCCCTGTCCCTGGAGGAGTCTGAGACCCTCACCCGACCCTTCTATCTATCTGAGTCGAGATTGGTGTTTCCCAGCCAATGGGAGCGGTGAAGCTGGCACTTGGAGTGGAGGCAGCGTGCGGAGCCCCCTGGCTGCCTCTATGCATAGGAGCTGGAGGGTGGACATGCCGCTGCTTCTGGGAGCCGCACGGCACCATGGCAGGCGGGGAGCCTACCTTAACCCCACCGCACTGCCAACCAGATTTATAACGGCCCCCTCTAGGCAAAACCTTAAGTTACAAAAAAGATACACAGACAGAAATAGTTATTCTATTCAGCACAATTCTTTTCTCAGCCATTTAAAGAAATCATAATCTAACATGTACCTAGCTAGATTACTTACTAAAAGTTCTAAGACTCCATTCCTGGTCTATCCCCAGCAAAGACAGACTATAGACAGACACACAGACCCTTTGTTTCTCTCCCTCCTCCCAGCTTTTGAAAGTATCTTGTCTCCTCATTGGTCATTTTGGTCAGGTGCCAGCGAGGTTACCTTTAGCTTCTTAACCCTTTACAGGTGAGAGGAGCTTTCCCCTGGCCAGGAGGGATTTCAAAGGGGTTTACCCTTCCCTTTATATTTATGACAGGAAGTTTTAACCTAAGCTGGTAAAAATAAGCTTAGGGGGTTTTTCATGCAGGTTCCCACATCTGTACTCTAGAGTTCAGAGTGGGGAAGGAACCTTGACAGAGGCCCTGCTCAGTGTGCAGCTCAGGCTACATAATCAAGGTAACATGCAGCCCTGCAGTAAGCTGTTTCCTGTCGCAGCACTACAGGGCAGGAGACTACAAGGATCAACTTCTTATGTGTTAATGGCTTCTATAAGCCAACTAATGGCTTGATGGGATGGGATGCGGGGGAGGAGGAAGATCTGGAAATGTTGGTGGGGGAGCTACATGTTGTGGGAAATGGCAGGACAGGTGGTGGGGAAGGAGCAAAAGAGACACCACTCTTCTCTCACATGCTTTAAGTTATTGTAACAACCATGTAATAAAATTATCACAGTTTTGGGACTTAGACTGTGGATGAGATTTCTCTCACCCACCCTGTTAATAACTACATACTGCAAACATTTCAAAGCACAATCATTGTCCCCATTCAAGTATAACTAAATGTACAGGAGCGGAAGGGGTACTTAAGGATCACATAGTAATGTGGCCTAGTGGAAAGACCACTGGTCTGGGACTATTCCTAGCTTTGCAACTGGCCTGCTGGGTGACCTTGGGCAAGTCACTTCACCTGTCTTTGCCTCAGCTTCCCATCAGTAAAATGGGGATAATGATGTAAAGTGCTTTGAGATCTACTGATGAAAAGCACTATATAAAAGCTAGGTCTCATGATTATTACCTAGCCAAAATAATATAACAACTGCAAACCTAGGAGAGAACTACAACTGTCTAAAAGACCACTAACTCCTACAATGAACATTTCTCTTTTTATTTAAAAAACTGGGGAATGAAATGACATAAAATGCAGTGAGTAGCTTGTTCAAAATATAGTCTTATTTAATGGCAAAAAAAATTGTTAACACAGAGTTAAGCTTGTTAGGCGATAGCTCATGCTGTTTCAGAAGGTCAAGTTCAGCAAAAGTCAAACTCTGAAAACCAGGAAATAAATAGTTAAGGTAAATGCCCATGTAACCTTAACTATGCCCTCTTTGAGCGATGTGCCAGTACTCCCATAACACATACACACAGACACACACACACGCTCCCACTCTGCCTTTTCACTCTAATGGACAGGTGCTACCAGCACTTGTGTTGTGCTCAAACACTGAGCCTGCTTGCCTGACAGATGACCACACTTAGAAAATGTAACAATCACTTCAAGCCCTTTTACGACCCCTTCACACTGTTACACAAGACACCACCATAACCTATACTTTCCTATACCAACCATTAAATCCATGAACTGCTCTCATATCCCACCTTGCTAAGGACAGTACCCATGGCAAGAACACCTCAGTGCCCTGCTACTGGCACGAGCTACACAATTCTGTACTGAAATGACAAAGACTGGAACCTCAAGGTACACATGCACCTCTTTCCTTTGATAACACAGAGGGGGAACTCAGCCCCAGGTCTCCTCATACCAATCATAGCTCTTCCAAACTGCTCTAACTTATTTCTCCACCATTTAATACAGCTACACCTAACACAGTGAATGCAGCTGGAGTAGATGCAGATAATTCCCAGTAGCTATTGCCAGCTCCATGGGGCAGAGTTAAGGTTACATGGGTGTTTACATTAACTCTGTATTTTCTGGTTTTCAGAAGTGAGAGTTTTGCTGAACTTGACATTCCAGAGGGGCATAAGCTATCACCCGGCAACCTTAACTGCATTAATAAAGTGTTTTGCTATTTAATAATGTTTTGTTTGGAACAAGCTGTTCTTTGCCTCAGCATTTTCACACTGGTCACAGCCCCTGGAGAGGAGGCTGTTGCAGGGGCCAAAGCCATTTGGACTTGCTGAGGTAATGCGGTTGGTAAATAGGATGGAAGAACCTGATGATCCAGTCTAAAAGTGAGATGAATCACGGCATTCCACATTGAGAGAAATGCAGGCGTTGACCTGGCACTTGAAGGAGGTACCGATAGAGAAGAGAGGACAAAGGGGTAGCTCACCCTGAACTGCAACCAGGCTAAATCATAGTTTAAGCAAGGGTGCTGCCCCAGAAGCAGTGCAGGAAGCAGTCTGTGACTTTGAGGTTCATAATGTACCATTCCGTCTTTGCCTGACTGTGGTGGGGCATGTAACCTGCACCCGGCCTGCACGTCTCTCAGCATGCCAGTGTAGCTACGCTAGTGTGCACACTGGTGGCCAGGGTCAAGGCTCTGCCCACTCCCCACCCCATCCTGCCCATGTGTACGGCAGAGGGCATCACAGCTCTGCAGAGGCTATATCTATCTCTGTGCTTCTACCCATGATCGGGTATCCAAGGCAGGGAAGTAAGTGGGTGCCTTAAGTCCCTTAGTCTCCTGTACAGCTGCACAGGATGGGCTGCTTTGCCCCTTTATTACCTTTCAGTGGGGATGATGATGTCTACCTGCCTCACAGGGATTGTTGTAAGAATTGATGACTTTTCAAACTCTTGCAAGGTGCTGAGCTTTATGTAGCTCAGTAGCAATTGTGCTGCATACAGGTGAGTGAGTTTGTTTGCACCTCTCTTTGTTTAGTTCTGAAAATCTGTCGTTACTGGTATCTGGCTCTAACTAGCTCACATGTATCTTCTCGAGTGCTTACAGGTTACTCCTGTAGCTGGTTGGCTAGCTTGCAAAGAATGGGGAAAAATAGGAAGGAAGCCTAAGGCTGGACTCTCTCTTTCTAAAACATATCGGTCTGTTTATTGGTGGGTTTGATGTCTCTTCGCCCTGAAGCTCTTTCTCAAGTTTGCAACCAACTTTCCCTTCTGAATTCTTTGGTAATGTGCAAGAAAGGGGAACCAGAGTTGGTGTTTATACTCTGGGTTTTTCTCCTTTTGTCTGTAACAATGTACTGACTTGTGGCATTAGTAAAGTAAAAGCCAATACATTAGCAAAATTACCTAGTGAAAGTTTGAGCTGTGAATCAGAATGTTTGGAATTAATTATGGAAAATGAAATAAATTTCAGTTACAATAAGTTGCATTCTGAAGTTGCTTTATTAATTTGTGTCTTCACAGTGATAAAGTACCGGGTAACCGTTTGCACTGGGACAGTAAGCGGAAGCGGGACAGACGCCAACGTCTTTGTCAATCTCATTGGGGACCAGGGAGATACGGGGGAACGTATCCTCTATAACAGCATAAACACCATGAATAAATTTGAGAAAGGCAGTGTAAGTTGGCCCCGTGGCCCCGTAAGCCTGTCTGAGCATGCTGCTTAAAAAGTGCGACAGTTGGCAACTAACTGAGCTCCTTTGGGAATTGGGTTGGGGGAATGTAGTTCCTAGGACTGTTTTAAAACATTGCCGATACTATCTTGATATCACAGGAGCTACATGTTGCACTGAGGCATAGGAGCAGCTGCAACCTCAGGAGATTCAGCTGCAAGCTTGGCACTGATACTTCTTGGGACAATGGGGGTTAGTGGAAATCATGTGCATGGCAGAGGTGTCCTGATAGGTTTTGAGTGGAGAGAGGGTTAGGTGAGGAGGATGGTGAGAGGGAGGTGAAAGTCCTTTGCTTGACAATGTCTGGATGTGCATTGTCTGGCCACACCAGAAGAAAGAAAAGGAGTACTTGTGGCACCTTAGAGACTAACCAATTTATTTGAGCATAAGCTTTCGTGAGCTACAGCTCACTGCATCGGATGCATACCTTGGAAAGTGTAGAAGATCTTTTTATATACACACAAAGCATGAAAAAATACCTCCCCCCACCCCACTCCAAGGTAACCTATTTCCCCTTGTTTTCTCCCAATCCCCCCCCTCCCCAGACGCTCCTGCCAAACCCTGGATCTGCGCTGGAAATGGCCCACCCCAATTATCATACACATTGTCATTATCATACACACCAGAAGAAAGACAGGAGGCAATGGATGTGATGTCATTAGGCGGTAATTTTATTCACTTTAAATGTCTGGGAGTACCTGGTAACCAATTGTACAGTGCAGGTCATCATCCTTTCCTTAATCATTTCCACATGATCCCCAACTAAGTCCCAGCTATCCTGCTGCTGGGACCCCGCCTCCTTCCTCTCATAAGAAGGGTAAGGGCACTATAAAAGGAGAGTGGGTCAAGCTCCCCACTTTATGAGACACAGGAACTCCAAGCCCCTCTTACTCAGCTTCCTTAAGGGACACTTTCCATCATCTCCTTTTCCAATCCATTTTATCCAATCACCATGGTCCCTTCCGTACTGAGTATCTGCATTGGACATCCACCACAACTTTTACAGACTAAGTGGTATTAGTTGCACCCCCGCCCCCGCCCTTGCTCCCTCTCACATGGTCTCAGACCTGCTGTGAGGAAGGTGAGAAAACCCAACTTGCCTTGGCCAATCCATCAGTAAGGAGAAAATTCCTTCCCAGTGCCTCAAGGAAAAGGGCAATGAGCGTAATGCCCACAGCGGGTCAAGAGAGGGCCCAGTCCTTTTGCTATGTGAGTCCAATGAAGTTAAAAGAGGGCCTCCCCAAGGTTGCATGGGATATAAATACCCCTGGCCTCCATTCTTCTGGTCAGCAGGAAGGGCAGAGCAGTTACCTTCTTCTGACCTGGCCCCAACTGCTTCCTACTCTTCCTGTCCATCCCTGTAAGCTTTTCCCTACCTCCTCACCCATTATAGAGAGTCCTTAAAGGGGCAATGCCCCTTGTCTTTCAGCTAGCTGGACAAAGACCCACACACACAAATGGAAGACTGCGGTGAGCACTTTCATAGCATCCTGTAATGAAGCAACTCTCGTTTTGGTCTCTAGGCTGAATGTTGACTGTTGTGATGGTTTCCGGGAGAGGAGAAACTCTAGGAAACTCATCAGTCCTCCAACAATGAAAGACAGACTTCCCCCATGATCTGATGTTGGGGAGAGCAGGATATTTGGGCAGGGGAGGGAAGAGCAGAATGTTGCAGGTAAAAATCAGAAATTCATTATAAAACCAGAAGGGACCATTTGCGATAATCTAGCCTGACCTTCTGGGTAACACAGGTTGTAGAACTTCCCTGAATTAATTACTGTTTCAACTAGAACAGATCTTTTAGAAAAACCCATCTTGGTTTAAAAGTTGCCCATGATGGAGAATCCACCACATGGTAAGTTGTTCCAATGGTTAATTACCTTTCCTGTTCACATTTGCACCTTATTTCTTCAATAAAATGTTTCTTCTGTATGTTTTATTCTCATTTCCACCCCACTCGCATTGCCACACCAAATTTTCATGTCATTTTCATGCAGTTATTTTCTTGTCAGAATATCGTGTGTTTTTCTGTCCTCCCTGGAGGGCCAGGGCCAGGGATGGAGACTGTGCACTGCTTCTGTGCAAAGCATGGAATAATAGAAAGGCTTACTAGTAGGTAAAGCCACTGCATCATTAACAAGCAAATAATGCACTGATCTGACCCATGGGGTCAACCTACTTAATATGCATTCAATTGTGCCTGACACTTTGGATTTCTGGTTTTCAGTTTAAGCTGTTAAAAACCAGGCATGCATCTCTAAGGGAAGAATTTGAGAATCTGATCAGAGAATCATTCAAATTTGCCATTTGTGTGTGGATTTTTTTAAGTCATTTTTAATTAAAAATTTTAAGTGGCAAGAAAATGTGAATAGGAAAGGTGAGATTTTCAAAACTGGCCATTTACATTGTTCCTGCAAAATATACATTCACAGATGGGACCTGATTTTACATTTCTAGAGCTTCCAAACTCCCACTGAAATTCTTAGAAGTCACAGGGAGTTTTGGGGGCTCCCAGGATGCAGAACTGAGCCCTTATTGTGTCTACAAAACCTGTAGTTGTGCACACAGTTGGTATTTGCATGGCAGGATGCATAGCTGTGCTTGAAAACTGTGTATTCAACTGCATATTTACTCATGCAAATGTGCATTTTGCAAGTGTAATGTATGCACATACATATTTTTTCAGACACTATTTATAGGCCCAGTTTTGAAAAGTAGGCCCAAAATGTAAGAGGAACTTTAAAAATATGGGATGATTTATTCCAGTCTACAAAGTAACAATTTTTAAACTGGAGGAAAAGTTACCTCTTACCAAATGATAGCCAAGCAAGTCTCATTTTTCTGTTAGTTTGGAAGCCTGTTTCTGTGATGTTCCAAAATCATAATCATCATAGTTCATTTCCGCCAGAAACATATTTTAAGCACAGATAATAACTAGTTTCTGACTTATAAGAATGAGTTGTATGGCAATGTGCATGAAATAAATAGTGGATAATAGCAAAAATAAATTTTAGAAATCCTGCTCATACTGTAATAGCAGCCAGACTATATAAACTAACCTGGGATGCATTAAAGAATAATTGTTCTTTTGGCAGAGTGAACTGAAAGCTGGTGAGTGAAACAGAAAAATATACAGGGCTTAACTCTGACCAAACAGAACATGTCCATTCAAAAAAATGCAATAGTTTAAATAAATTTAATCAACTAATCAATCAATTAAAAATTAAAAATAAATAAAAAACAAAAATAAGTAAAAATAAAAAAGTGCAAACCTCTAATCAAGATGCACTTAATCCAGTTTAACCCTATCTTATATTAGTTTCGCTTAAGCAGGTAGTTTACCGATGCAAGCTAAACTGATGTAAGCAAGGGTTAAACCAATTTAGTTTTTTATACATTAGCGGGTTGCACTGATGTAATTTCATTGACTTAATTTATACCAGAGTATGGTAAATGCTCATTTATTTACACCAGTGTATGGTAAGTGAGCTTAGAATCAGGTCCAGTATAGCCAACTTCATTAAGTTAGGTCAAACCTGCTAGGTTTTGATCAGTGAATAGGTATTTGTGAGTCTGATCCTGTGACTCTTTCTTATGTACGTAATTTTTGCTCACGCAAGCACACCCATTATTTTTAACACTTAAAAGTTCAGTAGTATGTTTTTGCTGCCTTTTTTTGAAAGGACAGTTTTGCTGAAATCTTTTAAAACATATTTTGAAAGTAGTGGCTGATATTTTTGTAATACTCTTTCTTGGTTGGGAAAATTTGTCACCCTCCTAACCCTCTATCTGGACATTAACAAAGACAGGCCGCCACCAGCAGCAAATTTGTGCTTTCTGTGGAGAGAAGAGACAAATGCACAACAGCACTATGTTCCCTCCAATTTTCTCCTGCCTAACCAGGCATTAAAGCAAGGGGCCCTTGTGATTGCATCAGGAGCATGGTAAACTACAGTGGTCCTCTCTGTGTATATGTCTGTCTAAGGTACTTATATGGCCCCATTACTGGAGTACCTGAACACATCACAATCTTTACATGTATTTATCCTCATAGTGCCCCCCTGGGGTGAGGAAGTGCCACCTCCATTTATAGTTGGAGAACTCAGGCACACAGAGTTTCTGTTTTAGAAATCCTGCTCATACTGTACCCTAGCTCCCCAGGAAGTCTGAGGCAGAGCAGAGAACTGAACTTGGGTTTCCCAGATCCCAGGCCAACACCCTTAGAACTGGACCATCCTTCCTCCCTACTAGGGGGAAGTATGAGACTATGGGTAGGAGTAAGCACCCAAAAGCTCTGGCTGCCGTTGCTTTATCAATCCCACCCTATGAGTCTAGCACAGATGTTCCGGTTCATTCTTTGGTAAATTAACTTGAACTTAATGCATTCACCTGCTTCTGAGGGATCTTCTCCATCCTGCAGCTCTGGGATTGGTTTGATCACAGTAATAAATGCTTGTGTTTCGTTTTGTTTCTTAGGAGCAATATTCCCTAATCTTGTTTCTTTTTCTCTCTGTCAAAGGCTGATGAGTTCTACATTGAAGCAGTGACTCTGAAGCAGGTGAGGAGGGTGAGGATAGGGCATGACGGCAAAGGAGGAAGCAGTGGCTGGTACCTTGACAAAGTGATAGTGAGGGAAGAAGGGCAGCCAGAAAGTCAGGCTGTGGAATTCCCATGCCACAGGTACTGGAAATGATGCTCTCAAATGATGCCTGTATTTACTGATCTGTCACACTTCCAAGAGCCTGATTACCGTTCAGGCTTGGACTCTTCTGAGCTCATCTAAATCCTGCCAGATAATTTTTTTGCTTGGCCTGAAAGCAAAATGTGTGGATTGGGAGATTAAGTATAATATGGCCCTCTCCTACTAAATAGGCAGCAATCTGAAGAATAAACTTTACAGCCAATGGGGCTGAGGATTTCCCAGAGACAAAATGCAACCTTCTGGTGATGAATCCAATGTCAATGCAACCTCCTCCTGCAGGAACATTCGCATTGCTTCTGCAGCCTCCTACTTTTGTTGCAGATGGGGGGCCTTCTTCTGCCCCCATATGCATGTCCCATGATCCTGAGAGCTGCGGCATGCTAATCTCTTGTTGGGAGTATGCAAAATCGATAAGATGCTGTCATTAAAACTCACCACTGGAACGGAAGTGCAGATTGCCCAAGGGCAGGTGGGAATCGAAGAGAAAAGGGCCCGTGACTCTGCCACCCAGGCAAGTTACAAATGTATTCTTCTCTTTCCTCAAGACAATAAGTGGCTGGAAAGAAGGTATGAAGCTTCCCTTGGAGAAGCTATAGCTAGCACTCATTTTCACATCCCACACACAAGTGCTAGCCAGTATCTGCCTCAGTGTGGAGAGTGCAAATAATCAATAGCTAGGTGAAAACATTGCAGACACAGCTTCAACACAGAGTCCTGGGTCCTTCAAATCCCACCTTTCTTTGCAGAGGATTTCATGCTTTGCAGGGTGAATTCCACGGAATAACAATGAATTCCTGTTTTTAAAAATATAAGGCATGCTCTTCCCACAGGACTGGTAGAATTTTATATACTAATATGATTATTCTCAAATTGCCAACAAAGGTAAAGCCACTGAGTCTGATTCTGATCTCATGTTGGTATAACCGGCAATTACTCCCCTGAAGTCAGTGTAAAACAATGTGAGCTCAGAATGAGGCCCACTGAATTACTAAAGCCACATCACATAACAGAGAGCAGAGCCAACTTGCCAGTGATGTAGAATTTGACACGAGATGCGACATGTTCATTGCAAAAATTGGGCAAGTTTCCAAATTATAGCCCCCTTAACCACAAAATAAACCCATCATGTTATGATGTTACCACTTTTTAATACCCATTTAATAAGTTAACTCACAATATAGTAACCAGACAGGCATTGATTTGGACATGAAATGTCCACATTGAGAACTGTTATGCTGATATCTTCAGAGATCTTCACAAGTCTAGCCATGTGATACATCTAGCTCACATTAATGGCTACTTCTGAATAACCTCATGACTGAAGCCACTTAATTAATGGCCTTCATCCCCTTGGGATGAAGATCCTGTTCTAGTAAGGTTACGCTAAAGCACTTGGCACACCATCCAGTTGTGGAAGAAAAGTTTTCATTGACCGTTAAAAACAACAACCATAAACAAGAGGCTGCAAATTAAGACCTGACTGTAGACTATCCAGCTTGCACATTCAGCCTTCGCACCATGAATCACTGGATTCTGTTCTTCTTGTGTTTTCCATGATCTGTTGTCCAAGTGAGACCATTGTCACTCACATGGGTTGTTTTGCTGTCCTTGTGCCACCATTATCTGTTCCTCTCAGATGGAAATGGTCACATGACCAACAGAGTGGGAGTAAATGGAGTACTGTTCCTACCACTGCCTCTGGTGCCTGCGTCTTCTGCAGGATCATGAGAAAGTGGAGCAGAATGACTGTCTACAGTTGTCGTGGAGGCTGGAAGTATCTGAAGGCAAAGGTGCTCACCCACTGCATCCTCCATAGGAATGAATAAACTTGTCCATGACCAGCAGCGTTTGGATGCTTCCATTCCTGCTGGCCAGGGATACCTCCAATTCCCTTGCTGCTCTGGATATCATTCAGAGAGGCCTGCTCCTCCAGGATACAGATACTTCTAGAAACCTGGCTAGGAGGAGCAGCCCTTTCTTAATGAGCCAAGGCAAGCAAGTGGTAATGAGAGGTAGAGACTACAGTTCAGAAAGGCCAGGGAGAGCATCTGTCTCAGTCAATCTGTTGCCAGCTGGTGGATATGTTGTTGTACCCATCACCCTTCTCTTCTGTGGCCTTATCATGTTCAATTGTTACCTATAGCACATTGACAAAGTCCAGGGGAAATAATTTTTTTTTCTGCTGTGTCCTGTTATTTAGGACTGGTCCAGGGACATGCTCTGAGCTCAGCTGCTTCTGCTGTGATCCAGCAGAGCCAGAGCACAAATACCTTCTTCCAACAGGAACAGATTATACTGGTGCAGAAGATGCTAAACCTTCTCCCGCCGATCTGGATGCACTAAGATATAGGAAATACTTCCATTGTGGGGTGCTGGTTACACAGCTCTCATGATGTCTGATGCCGCAAGGACACCAACATGGATTTCCTTTCCATGTAACACACTGAAGTCTGTTTTGTTCTTCTCATTTACGTGTATAAACACGTGGCTAAGATTTTTATTAATTTAAAAGCTTTTAACAATAAGCATTTATGTAGCACTGGAGGAACATCCACTAATTAAATCACAACAGTCCTACAAGGAGTATTAGCAAAGTGAGGTACAGAGAAACTAAATGGATTAACAGTGAGTTTGTGGCAGAGCCAGGACTAGAATCCCGGAGTAATGTCTCCCAGTCCTGTGCTTTAAACTACCAAAATAGTTGCTGTAAAGAAAATGTAATGGCTCAGAGTTATTCTCAGAGTCAGTGCATTAAAAATGCTCCTTTGAAGTACATTTCCAAGAGCTCTGCGTAAGCTCAAAAGTGTGACTCTCACACCAACAGAAGTTGGTCCAATAAAAGATATTACCTCACCCACCTTGTCTCTCTAATATCTGAGTGTTCTTTACAGAGTGCTAGCTCATCGTTCAGATGCCTTGAAATCTTTTATGACTTTCTGACATTAGAATAATTCAGATTTTTTCAAAGTGAATCACTGAACCGTTCAGTGCAATGACTGAAGCCATCTGTATATTATAAGTACTTTACAGTTTGGGTGCTATAAACATAAATAGTGCTCACAATAAAAAGGATAAATGAAAGGGCTGAATCAAATAAGAACCACCTTTCCCACCCAAACCTAGAACCACACCTATTTTGAGGATCAAAGCTTAAGTTTTTTATTTTTCATTTTCACTTTGGGGCTTTGTGCAAGGACAGAAGCGGAGGAGCTGACATTCAGTAAAAGAGGCTGCTTTCATAATATCCCAGGCAGAAATGAAATGGAAATCAAAGACAGCCCAATCTCATGTTAGGCCACATCCTCAGCTGGTGTAAATCATTATACCACTGTTGAAGTGATTTTATACCGGCTGGGAATATGGCTTGATATTTCTAGCTGAGCTTTGCAGACCCAAGAAATCTGAATATTTGTGATAAGCTTTGGATAAGTGTCCAAACCTGACCCGAATCTCTGAACTTCTTGTGGTTTTCACATCATTGTGTGTTTTGTAAATATTTGTGCAATATGGGATTACAGAACATCATTTTAGCCTGATAGTGTGTGTAGCTCAGAGTGGTACCAGACTGAGGTATGTGTGTGTTAGAAATATGTAGACAGATGTATGTAAACTACCTAGGGATTATTGATGATTTTACATTGCAAACCAAATGCTTCTACAAGCACTTTGTACAAGAAGTACTTTGGCTGTTAGGTCGAATGAATGCTATTTTAAATGGCCTGATGTGTTTAGAATGTGTTTGATCCATTAATGTCATGTGTTTATATATAACCTAGTTGACATCATTCTAAACCTTGTTCATTATACATAGAGTTCTTTTGTCCCTCCGAATTTTTGCAAACCTTGCTGCTGGGCATGGGAGGTACCTTGAGCTTGCTGTACAAGGAACAAATATGTAGATACAAGTGCTTTATGGCGTTCCATTGTGACACCAGTGGAACAACATTTGAATAGCACATTGTGCGGGAAAAAGGAGAAACAAGAATGTGTTGCAAATCAAAATCACTCATCTATCATTATTCACACGTCTTCATCTTGCGCTGCTTGAGGAGACGGTGTCCTTGCCACAGCCTGCTAGTCTTTTGGTTAACACAAGATTGGGCAATGGTAGCTGCCTTAAGTCATTTCTGGTGGTGGTCTATCCCCATCTTTCTTTCACCAGCCTGTAGCAAGCTTTCCACACCTGATTTAAACTCTTCCTTGCCTCTTCATCAGTAGCCCCCGGCAAAGAGCAAAGCTCTTCTCCAGAGCAGTCTTTCTTCATGAATTCCCTTGCGGCACTCCCTTCTCCACCAGGGAAGCAGTTAATATTTTCCCTTCTGCACCCAAAGTTCTGTTTCTTGTGGAAGACATTTTGATTCTTTCACCTTGGCTCAGGAGGTGTCCTTGGATTCACTCCATATTGGGTGATTGCACCAGCAACAGTGAAGGATACAAAAACAACCACATATACACCAGCAACAGAGGAAGCAGCTTCCAAGATGACTGATGCTAGATTAGCACAAAAAGCAGCTGGCATAAAGTCAGCTATCCCAGGGGCTTCTCTCTTTCTGAAGGGCATTCTGAATTGAGAGGATCATGGGGTGGGCAGAAATTAAGTTCTGTTTTCTGGGGGCATCCCATTTAAGTTCCATGTATGCAGAGGCATCTTGACTTTTGTGATGACTTAATTCCCTAGTTGTTGGATACCTGTCCAAGAGTGGGACCACTGAATCAACATCAAGGACTACACAACACACAGGTACTAAGGATCAGTTGCAACAGGTAAAAAAACCCCAAAACAACGACTAATACAAAGACTTCCTTCCGTAAGACACATGTTCTGGTACGCTCTTCATGTGTCCTCCATACACTCCACACTTGGCTCCAATTCTTTACATCAATCTCTCATTCTTCAACACAGATAGCTGTGCTTCTATATCCCTACAGTCCATCTCACTCACCAACAAGGGCGAACATTGCACCTGATAACCTACCACAGTGTTAAACTGATATTTCTTCATGCTGATATAATTACCGCTAAACCTCTCCAACACACATGGCCACATGTTTTACAGAGTGAAAGGGAAGAATACTGGGTAGATTACATACCCGACAACCAACAAAAGATTAGTGGGGAGACTGGGGTGGGGGGAATGGCATTACATGTGTCTCTCTTCTGCATGCTGCCGGGCACTTAGTCTTGCTGCAAAATCCTGGTGGCTATTTCATGTTACCCTTATTAATTCTGGGCTACAGAATATTCCTGGGGCTGTTGCCAACTCTGAGTTCTGCTTCGTGTTTGGTGTTCCTGCAAACTGCTGTTTCTTCCACATAGCACCTGTGCTGATATTATTTCTGTGTGCAGGGGTGGGTGCAGAAAGGAGATTCTAACTCTTTTTTTTTTTTCAGATGGAGGGAATTAGAACCTGACAAATTAAAAAAAAAAACTAGCAAAACTGGTGGGAAAGGGAGTTGGTAGCTCAGGGGATTGATCATTGGCTCTGGATCCCTTCACCTCTAGATCACCATTCAAATCCAGATGGTAGTGACTTTGAAGGTGTTACAGCTTGATGAGTGTTTGGCCTATGAGAAAGGAAAAGATGGTCTCATTCTAATTGTTGGTTGATATTTGTCCACATTCTAAAACCACCGCCTCATCCGCTCTCATTGGCTTCCTTGTAATAGCAGTCTCAGCAGCAAAGCTGAAGATTGAATATGATGGAAACTGAACTGCCCTCTCCCTTTGTGTAATGGGTAAGGATGGAGTACATTGACAGAGGACAGTGTGGGGAAACTTGCCTTGCTTCTGCGCTGCACTTGTTCAGTCCACAGTTCTGTTTGTGCCAGTTCTCTCTCTCTAATTAGCCTAATGATTTGCTGTTACATGAATGTTGTGATGCGAATATATTCCTCCCTCCCTCCTGTGTTAGCAGTCCAGGGTGAAGCATGCTACTTCCACAGCACATCCAGCTCTGAAATCGAGAGGCAAGGTCCAAAAATATAATTCAGCTCTTGTCTGGTTTCCTGGTTACCCATAGAAAGCGTAGGATGAAAAGATAAAGGAATCAGCAGTCATAAGAAAAGATGTCAATAGCCATATCTGATATTATTGTCAGAATAAAAGACAATAAGAATTTCTGGATAATGGGCAAGATTTGCAAAAGGCCCAGCCTGTTTGCAGGAGTGATTTGTATCTGCTGAATTTACACCTTCTATGTAAATGCAAATGCGAGTCACAATAGATGCACCTCTACCTGTGTTGCAAATGGAAGATGGACCTTTTGAAAATATTAGCTGTTGGTGAATTTAGACTAATGTGTGACTGCTGCAGGGTTAGATCACACTCATGTTAACTAGGTCTCGTCTTCTTCACAGATGGATAGCCACCTAAAAATGTCACTTTATCTACGCAGTGTTACTTTTTGTTACATACTGTATCTGTCTGGACCTTTAAAACCCTGAATGTGGTAAATATTAGGAGATAACTTACTTCTATTTGCAAACCAGATGGCTTGACAAAAATGAGGATGATGGTCAGATTGTTCGAGAGTTAGTACCGGCTGGGGATTCACCGATCCTGAAAAGTGAGTTTGGTCTGGGATGAAGAAGGCTTTGGGTTGGGCTATTTATTTATGTTTAAATTAACAGGAAAACTACAATATTTATACCAATAACATCTAAGAAATGTGTGCTGGGCCATATGGGGGGAAATCTCTGATCTTTAAATCATAGTTTATGAATGGGATTAATTTGCATACAAGAGGATGACCGCTACATTTTTGTGTAATGGAAAGAATTTTTAAAACATTTTAAGAATGGCTTGTTTTGTGTGACTAGAAATTGGATCCTTAAACATTTGTCTCCTGTGCAGGGTGAATTCCATTGAATAACACTGAATTTCAGCCAATCCAAAAAAACAAACAAACAAAAAAAAACACAAGACAAAGATGACAACCCTCCCTTATCAGGATTTTAAGGCATCAAGAGTGTAATTTCCTAAAACATTGCTAAATGAGAACAAGAACATAGCTCTTAGTAATTATTTTGAGTGCAAAAAAAAAATGGCTAAAATCAAACTGTAGGCACAAAAGTAGATAAAGGCTACTTCAGTTTCTAAAAAGCTTACTTTTTTGTGTTTTGGTGGTAATCTAACCCTGTGGGTCTGTCATCAGACATTCTCAGTCCATTTGTATATCTGTTATGTTTTTCACCACTTGTACAGCTGGTGAACACATCTCATAGGTTTATGAGCTCCTTCCAGTCTGCTCCTCTGGGCAAGACTCTGATGCAAATGTTTCCAAGCCTCTCTCATTCATGCTTGTGTTCTATTCTAGTTTGCAGCAAGCTTCAGTGATTCAGGATGAACTTTGGCAGTGCATCATGTGTCTGTGTTGTGTACATTAATATCTCTTTAGATGTCAGCTATCACATCAGTGTGAAGACAGGAGATGTTCCTGGAGCCAGCTCAGATTCTAAAGTTTTTATCAAACTGTATGGTGACAAGGCAAACACCAGCAAGGAGCCTCTGTTAGTTTCTGATAATGACCTAGGCAATTACTTTGAACGTGGGCGAGTGGATGAGTTTATTTTAGAGACACTGGATATTGGAAAGGTAAGACTTCATTACAAGTGGGTCAGTATTATATGCAAGTGATTTGTGTACTAATCAGCACAGTACTAAGGGAACTGCTGCACTGAAAGAGAATCTGACCTTTGGACAAAATGTTACAAACCACATTTTCAAATAGGCTGCTACAATTGCAACTAGGGATTTTTCATAGATACCATGGTGTCTGCACATGTAAGGCAATGTTTCCATGGGCAGTGTGGCTCTCTGGCTACCTAACTGTCCAAATTGCATGTTTAAGGGAACATTGTATGTTCACAAGCTGATACATATAGAAAAGGTTTGCATGCACACAGTGAAAGAACAGAACATACGTGGGAAGTAGATTTTTATTTTATTAAGTAAATGCCTTCCTTGTTCCCCTCGCCCCTTTTTGCTTTTTCTTTTCAAGATCAACCGACTTCTGATTGGACATGATAATGCAGGGCTCCGATCTGGTTGGTTCCTGGCTAGTGTCCAGATCACAGTTCCTGTCCATGGAAGGCAGCACATGTTCCCATGCAACCGGTGGCTTGACAAAGACGAGGCTGATGGGAAGGTGGAGGTGGAGCTCTACCCAAGTGAGATTGTGTCCATTGAGAAATGTGAGAGAGCAAAGCATTCGTTGTTATTGTTATTAATATTAATATTAATAATAATTATCTGTATTATTGTAGTGCCTAAAAGGCCTTGGGATGAATCAGGACCCCATTGTGCTAGGTGCTGTACAAACCCAGAAAAGACAGTCTCTGCCCCAGTGAGCTTACAATCTATGTATAAGACAAGAGATAACAAATGGATACAGACATATGGACAAGGAAACGATGATGCAATATTGGTCGGCATGATAGGCAGTGGTAGCAGCACACTGTTTGTGAAAGTGAATGATAAAGCCCTGTTGCTGTGGTCATTTACAATCAGATGAGAAAAAATGAAAAAAAAAACCACAAGAAAAAAACACTCTCGGGTTTATTCTTGCATTGACAGGGTTATTGCTGAGATGATGATGTAATCGGTCTCCTCCATATCTGACTTCTGAGATTCTAGGAAGAACCTAGGCTATGGCCAGGCTCAGTGCAGTCAGACACTGGGTTTCCCTTGCTGCGACATCAAGGCCTCTCACTGCTGACCTGCAGCTACCATGCTGTTCCAGAGCAGCATCCTCACACGGCTCTTCCAGTTCATTACAGTCTTGACTTGCAACAGCATCTGAATTTCCAGTCCCTAGTCTCTCTTGAGGAGAGAAGTTTTATGATAGATACGGATGAAGATCCATTCTGGTTTTGACTGACATCAGTACATTAATTTTCATTGAGAACCAAGATTAAAAGTTGACCTCATGTCCCAAGGAGGAAAAACGTGGTGCATTTCCCCACTGCTCCATGTAGCTCCCTGCTTGCTCCTGTATGATGGAGAGGTTCTAACCTCTCCATAGTTAATGTGGCAATGAGGTTCAATTTTTAAGGCCCTATTAGTACCCCTCTAACTTTGAGTTGAGAAATTCACTTGACCTGACAAGCCAGTGGTCTGATGGAGAATATTTTTATCATCCGCTACTGGACCAGGCCAGACTATTTTTCTTGCATGAAAGGAAATTCAGGATCTGGTAAAATAACTCCTCTTGCATTCTCAACCAAAGTATTCCCCTTCAGGGAAATGTATATAGGTCCATTTTCCAGGTGGGGTAAGAGCAACAGAGTTTCTGAATGACTTGCCAAGAGTCTATATGGGAAGTCTGTGAGTGGTATACATTTGGGGTATGTCTATGTTGCAGCTGGGAACAAGCCTCCCATCCTGGGTAGACAGACTTGCACTAGTTCCTTTGGAACTAGTGGGCTAAAAATCCCAGTGTGGATGTTGAGGAGTGCAAGCCTGAGTCCAAGGTCGCCTGGACCCCGTAGTTCTGAGCTCATGCAGCTGATCCAGGCTGCAGCATTCATACTGCTACTTTTAGCCTGCGAGCTGAATAGAGCTAGTGTGAATTTTTCTACCTGGAGAGGCACGCACCCAGCTGCAGCATAGACATGCCCTTATTGTATCCACTAGATCATTCAGACTGATCTCTGTACTGAGTTTGGCTACTTGTAAAATTAGAACATCAGACAAATAATAATGTTTAGCTTGAGTTTGGAGAGCTGCAGATTTTTAAAGCCGTATTATTAGACACATTTTGCAGGTGGTTTTACCAAAGCAGAATGTGTCAGAGCCATTTCTGGGAGGTACCCTTGAGATAGGCACTGGCTGTGGAGCCATGCATTGTTTTATACATGGTAAAAAATATCCTTTGTGTATTATAGACAATAATTAATTTTCATCTCAAAGCAATTCTATGCACTTCACCATTAGCAAACCCACCCCAGAATTAAACTAAGGAGCTTTGTGTATTAATTCCTCCATTACATTTATTTTTTCTTTTGGAATAGTGGTAAATTATGAGGTGTCTATAGTTACGGGGGACGTGCGGGCAGCAGGCACCAATGCAAATGTCTTCATGCAGCTTTATGGTGAGACTGGCAAAAGTGAGTTGATCACCTTGAAAAGCAGGTCAAACAACTTTGAGAGGGGAGCAACCGATATTTTTAAGGTATGATGAAGGCAGCCTTTACTGTTTATCTGAAGGGAAAAAAATGAGAACCAAAATAATGTACTTTTAACAAAATGGCAAAGCATATTCACTTTTCAACCTTCCTGCTCGACTGGCTTTTGTACTTCATGAAAAATAGACTAGTCTCCCTTTCAGGTTTCCATGCACTAGTATTTAGGATGCAGGCACCGTAGAAGAAAAAAAGTATTCATTTTAGCTTTGCAAAACATTTGTAAACCTATATATTTGGCCTTGATCTAGTGGCATTCTCCCTTAAGTTTCAATTAAGCTTTTGTATTTAATCGAAAAAGCATGCATGACATATTGTCATGCTTACTTTGGAATGTGCCATTAATCACACATGGCACTTGCGATAGAGATACACATGATTGGCTCAACTCTGCCAATCGTTGCTACTGGAATTACTACTCTTCGTTTCGTAGGAAAGTGTACTCAGATTGTGCTAATAGTGTTAGGGGGGTACAGAGCCATGTCATCCCAGGAAGCATGCTGTTTTTAAGGGGTGCATCGTATGCTCTTCTGTACTTTATCTGTTGAAGGTGCTAACAGTACCCTCCTACCATAGTATCTGAGCACCTTATGGTGTCTCTATTGTATTCTTCCTTGACACCTCCCACCAGGGTTTGGAAGGGCAGTGCTATTATCCCTACTTGCAGAGGGAGAACTGAGGCACAGAGAGACTAAGTGACTTGCTAAGGCCACATGGTAAGTCTAGTGGAGAAGAGAATTGAACCTGGGCCATCTGAGTACTAGGCAAGTGCCCTAACCTCTGGGTCTCAGTCAGCCTGGGCCTAGCAACCAAGGAGTTAGTGCAGGAACTGCTGGCCAATGCTGATTGGCTGCCTGACAGCACCTGGGAGAATAAAAGGGCTGAGGGATGGGGCAGCTGCCAATGGAGCAAGGTGGTTAGAGAAAGAAGGTCCTGCCAGCAAGCTGATGAGAAGCCTCCCCCGGGTGACAACAACCCAAAGAAGGGCAGATCAGAGGCACAGGCTGCAGAAGCCTACAGAATCAAGAGAGGAAGGAAGGAGCTCAACAGGGGAATTGTTGAGGACTGATTCTGCCTGCCTGGGTTCAGGGCCCTGAGCTGGAACCCAGTGGAGTGGGTAGCCTGGGTTCCCCTACCTAACACTTTTTAAAGGAAGTAAATAAGAACACTTGGGAAGTCCAGGGTCTAGCTTGAATGAGATGGATAATTAATGACTTTGTCACACCTCTCATAAGCGGGAAGCAGCATGGTCAGGAATAGGCCGATGTGTGTGCTGTTTCTTTAAGTCTACTGAAGAAAACTGGGCAGAAGGGAGGGATAGGTGTGGCAGGGTCTAGGCACAAGTCCTATCGTGAAGGAGAGTGAGGGATAAAATGTTTCCTTTGTTCTAATAACGTTCCCTGTTAAGAAACTGACTTGTTCAGTGATTCTTTACCATTGTCACATTATGCCTTGTACATGTAGGGATAAAGTGAGAAAGGCTAAAAGTCAAGTAGAGTTGGACCTTGCAAAGGGAATTAAAACCAATAGTAAAAGGTTCTATAGCCATATAAAGAAGAAGAAAACAAAGAAAGAAGAAGTGGGACTGCTAAACACTGAGGATGGAGTGGAGATCAAGGATAATCTAGGCATGGCCCAATATACTTTGCCTCAGTCTTTAATAAGGCTAAAGAGGATCTTAGGAATAATGGTAGCATGACAAATGGGAATGAGGATATGGAGATAGATATTACCATATCTGAGGTAGAAGCGAAACTCGAACAGCTTAATGGGACTAAATCGGGGGGCCCAGATAATCTTCACCCAAGAATATTAAAGGAATTGGCACATGAAATTGCAAGCCCATGAGCAAGACTTTTTAATGAATCTGTCAACTCAGGGGTTGTACCGTATGACTGGAGAATTGCTAACATAGTTCCTGTTTTTAAGAAAGGGGAAAAAAGGTGATCCAGGTAACTACAGGCCTGTTAGTTTGACATCTGTAGTATGCAAGGTCTTGGAAAAAATTTTGAAGGAGAAAGTAGTTAAGGACATTGAAGTCAATGGTAAATGGGACAAAATACAACATGCTTTTACAAAAGATAGATCGTGCCAAACCAACCTGAGCTCCTTCTTTGAGAAAGTAACAGATTTTTTAGACAAAGGAAATGCAGTGGATCTAATTTACCTAGATTTCAGTAAGGCATTTGATACCGTGCCACATGGGGAATTATTAGTTAAATTGGAAAAGATGGGGATCAATATGAAAATTGAAAGGTGGATAAGGAACTGGTTAAAGGGAGACTACAGCGGGTCATACTGAAAGGTGAACTGTCAGGCTGGAGGGAGGTTACCAGTGGAGTTCCTCAGAGATCGGTTTTGGGACCAATCTTATTTAACCTTTTTATTACTGACTTTGGCACAAAAAGTGGGAGTTTGCTAATAAAGTTTGCGGATGATACAAAGCTGGGAGGTATTTCCAATTTAGAGAAGGACCGGGATATCATACAGGAGGATCTGGATGACCTTGTAAACTGGAGTAATAGTAATAGGATGAAATTTAATAGTGAGAAGTGTGAGGTCATGCATTTAGGGATTAACAAGAATTTTAGTTATATGCTGGGGACGCATCAATTAGAAGTAACGGAGGAGGAGAAGGACCTTGGAGTATTGGTTGACCACAGGATGACTATGAGCTGCCAATGTGATGTGGCCCTGAAAAAAGCTAATGCAGGCTTCGGATGCTTCAGGAGAGGTATTTCCAGTAGAGATAAGGAGGTTTTAGTACCGTTATACAAGGCACTGGTGAGACCTCACCTGGAATACTGTGTGCAGTTCTGGTCTCCCATGTTTAAGAAGGGTGAATTCAAACTGGAACAGGTACAGTGAAGGGCTACTCGGATGATCCGAGGAATGGAAAACTTGTCTTATGAGAGGAGACTCAAGGAGCTTGGCTTGTTTAGCCTATCTAAAAGAAGGTTGAGGGGAGATATGATTGCTCTCTATAAATATATCAGAGGGATAAATACCGGAGAGGAAGAGGAATTATTTAAGCTCAGTACCAATGTGGACACAAGAACAAATGGATATAAACTGATCATTGGGAAGTTTAGACTTGAAATTAGACGAAGGTTTCTAATCGTCAGAGGAGTGAAGTTCTGGAATAGCCTTCCAAGGGAAGCAGTGGGGGCAAAAGACCTATCTGGCTTCAAGATTAAACTCAATAAGTTTATGGAGGAGGTGGTATGATGGGATAACATGATTTTGGTAATTAATTGATCTTTAACTATTCATGGTAAATAGACCCAATGGCCTGTGATGGGATATTAGATGGGGTGGGATCTGAGTTACCCAGGAAAGAATTTTCTGTAGTATCTGGCTGGTGAAACTTGCCCATATGCTCAGGGTTCAGCTGATCGCCATATTTGGGGTTGGGAAGGAATTTTCCTCCAGGGCAGATTGGCAGAGGCCCTGGGGGTTTTTCACCTTCCTCTTTAGCATGGGGCACGGGTCACTTGCTGGAGGATTCTCTGCACCTTGAAGTCTTTAAACCATGATTTGAGGACTTCAATAGCTCAGACATAGATGAGAGGTTTATCGCAGGAGTGGGTGGGTGAGATTCTGTGGCCTGCATTGTGCAGGAGGTCAGACTAGATGATGATAATGGTCCCTTCTGACCTTAATATCTATGAATCTCAGAGCACTTTATAAAGGTTGGTGTCATCCCCATTTTACAGATGGGGAGATGTAGGCACAGAGACAGGGCCGTCCCTAGCAATTCTGGGGCCCTACGCAGCCCCCCCCCCCGTTGGGGGGGGCGGCAGGCCAGTGGGCTGGAGGCCTCTGTGGGGAGCCGGGGGGGGGCAGGGCCCAGGCCTCCACAGGGGGGCAGGGCTGGCTTGGGGGGGAAGGGGAGAACCACCTCCCGCACTCACCAGCAGTGCGGCTGAGGCTGGGTTGCTGCACTCCCGCTGCTGGTGAGTGCAGGCCCAGCCCGGCTGCAGAACTCAGGGGAGTAGGGGCGGGGCTGGGTCGGAGCAGGGGCGGGGGCCCTGGGCAAGAGCCGGAGCAAGGGCTGGAGCAGCACGCAGCTGCGCAGGGCACCAGGAAATTTGGTGCCCTATGCAGCTGCGTACTTTGCGTATGGGTAAGGACAGCCCTGCGCAGAGAGGATAAAGTGATTTCATTCGGTCACCCAGAGGCAGAGCCAGAAATAGAACCCAGGTCTCCTGGGTCTGAGTCCAGTGTTCTATCCACTAGGTCATACTGCCCCCATGAGACAGAGATATGCATTCCTTTCTGGGGTCTGCCACTGCCTTGCTTTGTGTGTTTGTACAGCTCTGTTAACCTCTCTCAGCCTCCGTTTCTTCATCTGCAAAACAGGGACAACTCTTTTGAGTGTCTCGAGATCCTTGAATGACCAGCACTTTATAAACACTTAGCATTTGTTATAGAGACAAGGGTGATGAGGTAATATCTTTTATAAGACCAACTTCTGCTGGTGAGAGAGCCAAGCTTTTGAGCTATACAGGGTTCTTCTTCAGGTTAACATATTTCTAGGGTTAACTACTTAAGCTAAACATTCTGCTCCACCTTGTATTTAGCTGTGATATTCTGAGTTCATTCCCCAGACCTGAAGAAGAACTCTGTTTAAGCTCAAAAGCTTGTCTCTCAACAGCAGAAGTTGGTCCTATAAAAGATATTACCTCACCCACCTTGTCTCTCTAATATCCTGGGACCAACACAGCTACAACAACACTGCATATATAATTTGTTATAACATTTCAAATACCAGCTGTACATTCATCTGTTTCTAAAGTAAATGATCTTCTCCTGACATATTAAATCTTACAGATTTTTATCAATCTTCTACGTAAATCGCTCTATTTACATAGCCATGATTGTTTTCTATTAAATGCTTACACAATTTGGAAACCTTAAGTTTAATGTGTGTGACAGGGTCGGGCCAGATGGCAATAGGAGAGTAATAGAAGGCAGATATATTAGCCCCAGGCTAAGTAGGTCCCTTTTCCCTGGGTAAGGTAACAGGGAAGGTTCCAGAACAATCAGGAACCTTCTGGAGACAATTAAGACAGGCTGATTAGAACACCTGCAGCCAATCAAGAAGCTGCTAGAATCAATTACGGCAGGCTAATCAGGGCACCTGGGTTTTAAAAAGGAGCTCACTTCAGTTTGTGGTGTGTGTGTAAGGAGCTGGGAGCAAGAGGCACTAGGAGATGAGAGTGAGAAGGCGTACTGTTGGAGGACTGTGGTGTACAAGCATTATCAGACACCAGGAGGAAGGTCCTATGGTGAGGATAAAGAAGGTGTTGGGAGGAGGCCATGGAGAAGTAGCCCAGGGAGGTGTAGCTGTCGCACAGCTGTTCCAGGAGGCACTCTAGACAGCTGCATTCCACAGGGCCCTGGGCTGGACCCCGGAGTAGAGGGTGGGCCCAGGTTCCCCCCAAATCCTCCCAACTCCTGGTCAGACACAGGAGGAGTCGACCTGGACTGTAAGTTCAGAAAAACGGCCAAGGTGAGGGCTGCCGTGAAGCTCCAAGGTGAGCAAATCCGCCAATAAGCACAAGACCCACCAAGGTAGAGCAGGAACTTTGTCACATGTGTTACCCAATTTCTGCAGTTTTCCAAGTACACAAGGTAGAAGTTTGAAGCATTAGGAGATTAAGGATCTCTATCTTTCCCAATATTAATATTTACAGGAAGATATGGGAAAGAATAAGACCGTATGAACTACATGTTAATGAGACAATGCTATCAGCTACAGACAGGGAATGCTGAATGCACATGAGCTGGGAAAAGAGAGACACTTTTCTCTGTGCTGGGATAGGTGGATCAATTTCAGTTTCCTGATAAACATCCCTTTTACAATTGATTATTGTTTTAATCTGATAAAAATGCTTCTAGGCTGAAGCCTTCTATGCTAAAATGCCAAATTAAAGCCTGAAAAAGAAAATAGTCACAGGGTTCCGAGTATATAAACTACATATCAACACAAAAACCCACCAAAACTAAAAGTGTAATTGGTTATGGGGCCACCATGCTGAGAAGCACTTTTTAATGCAGCGGTTCTCAAACTTTTTGGGCTCACGACCTATTTATAAACCTTGATGGCCTGTCGTAACCCAGAGATCCCCAAGACACCCCAGATCCAATACCCTCCTACCTCCTGGCAGGGGTTCATCCAGGGGTGGCAGAGTTTGGAGCTAACATTTGAGATATGATCAACCAGATGTGAACTCCGCAGGCCACTGGGGGGAGGATTGGCAAACCAAGACCCCCCCCAAAATACAGCTCCCCCATATGGCCCATGGGGGACAGAAAGTGAATTGGAGGGAATTTGGGGGCCTGGAGGTGAAATGGGGAAATTGGGGTCCTGGCAGTGTAGTAAGGAAGGAAATGGGAGTTCAGCAGGGGGCCCCCCCACCCCGTTTATCCCAGAGTGACCTGCTGCATCCAACGCAAACAGACACCAACCACTCTGTCCCACCGGGTTCAGCTTCCCACATTGGGTGTTATGACCACTGCAGTTGCAACTCTGTTCAGATTTGGCCCACTCTTCCTGACAGGGGGCCCAGCCAGGCCAAATTTGTGTGAGGGGAATTACGATTTGGCACAGGAGATCCCAATGCCATTTGCTCAAATTTGTCCTGATTGGCCCCCGTCTTCATGACAAAGGGGTGGCTGTGCCAAACCTGAGCAGTGCTGTGACCCCTTGCACCAGGTCGCAACATCTGGAGTGGGAGCTGAGCCCAGCCAGCCCTGCAAGGCATTGACACAATCTGGCGACCCGATTTTGGGTCACAACACACAGGTTGAGAAACCCCATTCTAGTGGAGCAAGTTACTAAATAATTTGGGCAAATAGTCTAAAACAATGAGGTGCCCATTCTTCATATCTGCTTTACTGGCTCAAAAGATCTACTCCTACTCCTCCCTGTATAGCCTCTATCACTGTAGTGTCTGAGGATGGTACAATCTTAATGGAGTTTACCATCGCAGAACCCCTGTGAGGTAAGGAAGTGTTATGGGGAACTGAGGCACAGATAGATTAAATTACTTGCCCAAGGTCACACAGGAAATGTGTGGCAGAGGTAGGAATTGAAATCACATCTCTTGAGTGCTAGTTCAATGTCCTCGCCATGAGAACGGTCTTCCACTTTGACTGGCTTACCATACTGCATTGCTAATATTTATTTAAGGAGCACCATATGTATATACAGCATTTTACTGATCACCTAACACCCCCGCCCCCCCAAAAAAACCCCCCATAGTGCAAGGTCCACATCCCAAGAAGCTTGCAGACTGTTAGAGATTAATACAATAGTCAGCCCAGTAATTTAACAAAGGCACAGCTACAATGTTGGTGAAAGCAGGAGAGGCAGGACTGGTACCCAGTAGACCTTAGTTTGGGTGTCTCTGCCACAGATGTTCTGTGTGACCTTGTGCAAGTCACTCGGTCAGTTTACATGATGTTTGGTGGAAGAGCACTACACAGTAATTTAGAACAGGAAGTGAAAAAGAACAATCAATCCAGCTGAAACTGGGGAGTGGGGCAGGAAATGACCTGAGCTTCACATCTCACAGCCAAGCTAATAGTGACGTAATAGCTTTGGGTGTAATGATCCATGTTGAGTTTTAAGCACTGTCGTTGGTTATTTGTGAAGAGAAGACATTTCATGTTCTCTCAGGCCGTAAACTTTTCTTTGGTGGCAGGTAGAGGCTGCAGATATTGGCAAGATCTACAAGCTCCGAATTGGCCATGATGGGAAGGGCATTGGGGATGGCTGGTTCTTGGAAAGTGTCACTCTTAAATGGATGGTAATGAAGGTGAAGGAGATGGATAAGAAGAAAAAGAAGAAGAAGAAGAAGAAGAAGAAATCCAGTGAGGAAGAGGAGGAGGACTCCCAGCCTGAAGAAGTGATGGAAGTCTGTAAGTTCGTGGCTCACCGCTGGTTGGCTACAGATGAAGGGGATAAGGAACTGGTTGTGGAGCTGATACCCGAGGATGGATCTGAACTTGAGGGTAAACTTCAGCAGTAAATACGTGTCCCTAAGTATCTCATAATCAATAACAAAAAATTACATTAAGAGAGCAGTACACAGTTAAGCACTCAAAAGTCTGGAAATGCCATAAAGTCCTATATACCCCCTTATCTCTACCCCCTGGTGCATTCAGAATAGCTCAAAGAATGTGCTTCTGCCAGGCTGCTACACCACCCCAACCCCAGTGAGATGAAAAAAACCAGCAAATTTAACAATGAGAAAAACATGTACTTTTCACACAGCATGTACTTCTAGGGGAATCCTGTGCAAAAAAAAAATCTGCAAACAATATTTTAAAATTCTGCATATTTTATTTGTCAAAATAACACAATATAATCACACCAGTTTCAATTATTTTGGTAATTTATTTCAAAATACCTCTCAGCAAAGTATGTCTGTAACAATTCAGGCAACAAAAAGAAAAGATTCAGGAAATGTCTGTTTGACAAATAAATTCTTTAGTAGGCATATTAATACAGAACACTGAGTAATTCATTTAAACTACAATACAGAAACATATTTCCTGCACCCCTCAGAAGTAGTGCAAAGGCTTGGGGGAGTCAGGGGTAATGAAAGAGCTGAGGAAGAGGGAAGGAGCCTGGGAGTGAACCTGGAGGGTTGGTGGATATGGATGGGAAAAGTATGGAACAGGATTTTTTTGTGGGCAGAGGGATTGTTAGGGAGCTGGGGTTCCTCCCCCATGCAGACCCTGGCTGACCCCTAGCCTCTCCCATTCAGTCAGACACATCTGCCCCTGTCCCCATGTGGTCTTGCAGCCCTCCTTCCGCATGCCCATGTGACCCTCCAGCCCCTCTCCCCCAAACTCATGTGGTCCTGCAGCCCCCCTCCCATTCAGTTCATGGCTCAATGCTGTCACCACTAGCTCCTGTCTGTCCCTCCCACTAGCCCTTCTGAACCCCAGTCTGTTACCTTCCTGTAGCCCCATGTGCCCCACTCTGTCCATGCTGTGCCTCCTCACCTGGCCCCACTGTGAGGAATGCATCCTCTTCCCGAACCTCTCTGCCCTCTGGCGGCCCTCTCTTCTGGTGCCACAGCAGCCCCTGGCCAGAAAAGGGAATAATTGCAGTGCCTCTCCAGCAGAATCTATATTCTGCAGAGAAAAAAAATCGGAATGAATTCTGTACATGCGCAGTGGCACAGAATTCCCCCAGGTATAAGCATGTCATTAACCTGTGGAGCTTACTGCCACAAGATATCATTGAGGCTAAGGGTTTAGGATGGTTAAAGAAAACCCAGATTCAGCATTTATATGGCTAACAAGAATGTATGACATTACAATAGATAGGGTAAAAAATAAGATCTAAATCCTTATGTTCACAGAAGCAAACACGGGGGTTTGGAAGAAAAGTCCTAAATGGCTGGGTTATTCCACAGTGGTCCACTAGGGGTTTCTTGAAACTTCCTCTGAAGCATCTAGTGTTGGCCACTGTTGGAGACTGAATATTAGACTATATGAGTGTAAGTGTAACCCACACACCTCCTGGGTGTGGTGTTCTGTCCCATCTAGTGGCACTGAGACCACTTAGAGAAAGAGATTAATGAGTCTGTTCTACAGCCTTAGTTAACAGCCATATGGCTTTTAGTTCATGCAGTAGATGCTCATGCATTTAGCTCCAAGGGTCCCATGTTCAATCCTGCTTGCGGACGACCAGGGTCTGTCAGCATTACATAAGCTGGTGAGCAAATAACCTGGGTAGGGAAGGTTAAAATAAAGCTCAAGTAAGAGTTCAGTTCAAGGCCCTTTCCTCAGAGCTGGCTTTATTATCACAAAAGGATTGGAAACAAGAGCAACCAACTCAGAACAGTTGGTCCCAGCCAAGCTGGGAGGGCAGAGGTCACAACATTCTTCCTTGCTTTCCTGGCTTACTGACAGCTCCCGTGGAGGGACTTCCTCCAGGGTCTTACCTCAACTCTTACCTCCTCTAGAATGATCCAGAAGCATTCCTTTATATAGTTTCTGGCAGGCAATCACATGACAGTCACCTGATCCCTCTCCAGCGTCTGGACCACAACTCAGAGCAAACCTCATCTTAATGGGGCTGGCGATGCCTGTGCTTATAGGCCAGCATGTTGTTATAATGGACTACTGTCTGATCCAGCATGACAGTTCCTATGTTCCTATGTCATCTCTTCTGTGCAACTTCACTTACAGAGAACACCTATGAGGTCCATGTCATCACTGGGAATGTGTGGGGTGCTGGGACTGATGCTAATGTCTTCTTGAACATCTATGGCGAAGGAGGAGGAGACACTGGTGAGCGCCAGCTGAAAAGGTCCAACCAGCTGAACAAATTTGAGAAGGGCCAGGTAAGGCATTAATTAGTCACTCAAGCAAACAAAAGGCAGGTATGATCCTCTGTCCTTGAACACAAGCTTCTGGTCCTTCATTGCTACATCTTCTCAGTAAACCTCAGGCTTTTCTTTGAATTAAAAGTTCGGACATCTGGTTTTCTCTCTCAAACAAATAGAGGTGGGAAATACCTCAAATAGAGGAGAGACAGATTAAAGCTGATGATAATATGATTTTAATATCTGAGAAAGCACGAGAGAGTTTGCACTTTTTTTAATGGAAAAAATACCCTGTCCAGGGCACTGACTCCCCGTAGGCTTGAGTGTGAAACACTAGTCTGCCTCTGTTTCTGCTTTTGCAGGAAGATATATTCACCATCAAAGCCATTGATCTGGGAGTACTGAAGAAACTGCGGATTCGTCATGACAACTCCAGCAGCAACCCAGCCTGGTTCCTGGACAGAGTGGAGATTGTTGATCTCAAGAACAACACCAGGTGAGCAGATTGCTGCACTCCATTCATGATATTGGATGCATGGGATTCATACTTCTGGTCAGATAAATATAAAGCCTTAGAAATACAAAGAACATAGTGATTTTGTTACATGTGTCATGAATTCAAACTGGATGATCCTCTTAGAATGCTAAAATAATGGTGCTGTTGGATGTGGGGATGGCTCTCTCAGACGTGTGTGCAGAGGACCCCGGCTCTGTGCAAGAGGGAGGAAGATGGTATAAAGATGTGTGTGCAGGATGCACATCGTTCCCACTGTCATCACCCATCCAGAACTGTGCTGAAAAGGCACTACAGCTCCTGTCTCTGTTTCCTTTTCTAAGACTCCCCTTCACGAGAGCTCCTGGGGTAAATTATCAGTGCAAGTAGCCCTGGGAGACCAGCTCTAATGGTGTCAAACTGACTGGGAGCCTAGAGCCAGTAATGAGGCAGCAGTGTTCAATACTGATAGCTTTGGGCTCTGGGAAATCCCCTGAGATCTTCTGGGATCAAAGTGAAACTCGGGCCAGTGAAGTATGGAAGCAGAATTTACCATTTCTTCCAGGAGGAACACACTCCACTTGAAGGAAATTCCTTGACCTATGGGTTCCCTCCTATAGCTTGTACTCTGGAAGCTTGTGACCTAGCACTGGGTTTGCTTTTTACATATATGGGGGGAAATAAACCAATGGGCTAAATCCAAAGGTCCTGACCCAGGCAACTTGAGAGGGAGCCGACTGAGTAAAACTTGAGCCCCCAATCCATCAGAATGCTTAAGCATGTGCTCAACGTCAAGCATGTGAATAGTTCCACTGACTTTAGTGGGGCTTCTCCCATGTTAAAAGTTAAGCATGTTCCTAAGAGCTTTGCTGGTTTGGAACCTGAGTGAGGACATCAAGACTCGTTCCTTTGTTTGTAAATATGGAGTATATTTTACTGTGAGACTATCATTAACCCTTAGGTTATTTATTTGCTTCTGGGCCTCAAAATAAAATGAGCCAGGTGGGACTGACAACTTGACACTTCGTACCTATCAGCAGGCATCAGTTGCCAGGCCTGGATAAGTCCACACAAAGGGAACAAAAGACAAGGAAGGAGACACATTTATGCTTATCAGCTTTGAGTGCTGTTACTCTTTGTTAACTAGCCTCTCATCTTTGGTAATGACTGCTGTTCATATCTGTGAAGTGCTTTGAAGATGAAAAGTCCCGGGTGAGTGCTGTGTACCACTGGTTTCAGAGTAACAGCCATGTTAGTCTTTATTCGCAAAAAGAAAAGGAGTACTTGTGGCACCTTAGAGACTAACCAATTTATTTGAGCACAAGCTTTCGTGAGCTACAGCTCACTTCATCGGATGCATACTGCTAATAAGCACTGTTATTCTTGCAGGTATTATTTCCCATGCCAGCGGTGGTTGGCAGGTGAGGAAGATGATGGTCAGATTGCCAGGGAGCTGGTCCCAGTGGATGAAGCATTTATAAGGAAAGATTCGGACAATGGTAACCAGTCCCTTGCATCTCTGGGCCTGGAACAGAAAGGTTTGCAGCAGTCTTGTGATTCTTTCAATAAGTAAAAAGGAAGCCAAGTTATGAATAGCTCTAAGAGTGTTCTCAATTATCATATTTGTTAGGCCATGAAAAAGTCCCCTCCTAGATCATGAGATTATTACGTGTGAATGAAATGTGAAATACTCAGTGTCCTGTAAGCCACGAAGCCCCACCCCGACCCCATTCTCGTGAACTGTAATCACCTTGCAAGACTGGACCCAGCGTGTGGAAAGGTTTCAGAGTGGTAGGCATCCGTAGAGTCCTCATCTGTTTCAGTCTCTCCCTTTCTCTTGCAAAGGAGCGAATCTGAACTGGAATACACAGCCACCATTGAAACCATAGCCGCTTAGCAGTGCTAGTTAGCAGTGGGTACAAGTCTGGATATGAAACTGGCCGGATGTCAGTGACTAAAACCAGAGACTGTTGCTATCAAGGGAAGGAACCTGAAAATGTATCTTTTTTTCATTCAGTACCCTGCTGTCTTATGATCGGAGGTGGTGGTGGCCCACTGGGGGCCGTAAGCAGGAATATTCCCACCCCCGCACACACACACACAACATATACTAAAAAAGCAAATACGGGGGCCCCCTTGAGCTGCTCGGGGACCTATGCAATTGCTTGGTCAGCTTATGCCTCATGCCAGCTCTGCTTATGTTTATCTTCCTGAAACTACCTTGTATCCAGTGTGCTTGATTGTCCATGCCGACAACTGAATAATGACGCCACCATGGGGCCTGATCCTGCAAGATGCTGAGTGTCCTGGATTTCCACTGACTCCAATGGGAGTTGAGAGCCTTAAGCTAAGCACCTGTGTCCATATTTATATGGCTGAATAAGTGGGCTAATTTTCAAAAACGTTGAGCACCCAGCAGTTCCCATTGACTTCAGTGGGAGCTTCTTGCTGCTCAACACTTTTGAAAATCAGGACACTCCTTTGGGTGCCTAAATATGGATCAATGAGTCTAACTTTAAGCACCCATGTTTGACAATCTTAGCTTAGTATTTTGTCATGTTGTGGATACAACTTCTAGGAATTTCCACAGTTCTTAAGAGTTTGCCACACTTTTCAGATGATGGTGTTGTGGGAAACTATACAAATCTGATATAGTGAAGGGCTGTCTGTATATATAAAATCCGGTGCTTTAAATGAAATGTTATTGTAGATTGCAGCAAGAAACAAATCTGAGAAGCATGTGAGACTCCCAGGAAATAAATGGGAAGTCTGAACAGCTCTCTCGTCTGTAAAGATGGAGAAAGCATTACTGAATGAAGAGCGGTCGCAGACCCTGCAGCCCACAGTCCTGTTTCACCCTAGCAAATACCAGAACAAACGACAGGAATTACTGTCAGAGCTTTAGGAATACACTCTGACTGTCCAAAATAAATAAATAACATGTGCAATGAAACAAGAAGAAATAGAATTAGTAGCTGCTCAGTGTTCACACTCTCAAATTAAGAAATGCTTTTTGACAGCTAAATCAACTACTTATACTGTGAAAGTGAAAACCGGGGACAAGAAGAATTCTGGGACAGATGCCAATGTCTTCATCATTCTTTATGGAAATAAAGATGACACGGGTAAGAACCAAGTATAACCCGTGTGAGAGAGATGGGGTCCGTGCTGTTGGTATAATTGACTGAAATGGCTGAGAAGAGTTTGGGGGTTTTTTTTTGCTTTCCTCAGTACAGTATCTGTTCTCAGTTAAGATGAATTCATATTCTTGCTGTAAGTCTTTTTCTTATCAAAGTGCATAGGAAAGCCAATGTTATTTAGCATTTTAGTTACTAGGGGATAGAGCCTCAGCTCCTGCAAATCACTGTCATTCCATGGGCTTCAATGGAGCGAGGCCAATTTACACCAGCTGTGTGAGCCAAATTGTTGACAGCATAGATTAAAACAAAGAGTAGGAAAACAGAACACTGGGTCTGGGTCAACTCATTTGTATCCCAGCAAGGGATACAGCCCACTCTAGAAACCCAGCTCGTCTTCAACTGCTGAGATGTTGCAGAAATATTTGATCTGTTGATGAGCAAACCCTGTTGGGACCGACACAATGCATATGTAGTGAATCTCAGTATTTGTGAAAGTGACAGACAGTGAAGAGAAGTGTAGGGCAAATTCCCTTGCACAACTTTCAGAGTAGCAAACGTGTTAGTCTGTATCTGCAAAAAGAACAGGAGGACTTGTGGCACCTTAGAGACTAACAAATTTATTAGAGCATAAGCTTTCGTGAGTTACAGCCCACTTCATCAGATGCATAGAATGGAACATATAGTAAGAGGATATATATATATATATATATATATATATATATATATATATATATACAGAGAAGGTGGAAGTTGCCATACAAACTGTAAGAGGCTAATTAATTAATATGAGCTATTATCAGCAGGAGAAAAAAACTTTTGTAGTGATAATCGAGATGGCCCATTTAGACAGTTGACAAGAAGGTGTGAGGAAACTTAACATGGGGAAATAGATTCAATATGTGTAATGAACCAGCCACTCCCAGTCTCTACTGGAACCCAAGTTAATGGTATCTTCTACGCAAAAGAATAAATGGACACAAATCTGACATCAGGAATCATAACATTCAAAAACCGGTAGGAGAACACTTCAACCTCTCTGGACACTCAGTAAAAAACTTAAGGGTGGCAATTTTGCAAAAGAAAAGCTTCAAAAATAGACTCCAACGAGAAACTGCTGAGCTTGAATTAATATGCAAACTAGATACCATTAACTTGGGTTTCAATAGAGACTGGGAGTGGCTGGGTCATTACACATATTACACATCCAATGAAGTGGACTGTAGCCCACGAAAGCTTATGCTCTAATAAATTTGTTAGTCTCAAAAGTGCCACAAGTACTCCTGTTCTTCTTGCACAACTTGGACCACATCTCTAGCTGGCCCTTCAACAGCATAGCTGCTGTGGCACTGAAGGGAGACCGCTCAACTGAAGAGAGATGTGATGTGTATTTTGGTGTGTGTGTGGGGGGGTTATATACAGTTGAAAATCTAGGGTTCAGTGTGACAAAGGACAGGTTGGAAACCAGATCTCCAGGGATGAAAGGCCATTTATTACACCGTAGGCAAATCCCCCATTCCTGTTTACAATCCCAAAGAATTGATTTTTATACACTAAACCAATGATACTCAGACTGCAGCTAACAAGCCGCAAGTGGCTCTTTAATGTGTCTCCTGCGGCTCTTTGAAGGACATGATATTAAAACACTGTGTGATTTAATTATTAACCAATCTAAGTTATTAACCAATCAGCATAAGTGCTGGAAGTAGGTGTGTTGGGGATGCTGCCACACCCCTTGGCTTGAAATGATCCATCATACACAGAGTTTACAGTTGGGTTCAATGACTCTCAGCCCTCCCCCACTATACAAATTGTTCCAGTACCCCTGCCAATCAGGATGCTTTTACTATGTTATTAACCAATTATAGTTGATACAGTAATAATACTTGGTCTGTCATTTTACTGTGAGAATAATTATATACACACACACACACACACACACACATCTAATCTATCTATCTATTAAATGAAACAATGAGTTCACATTTTTGGGGTAATGCTGATTGCTAATTTGGCTTCAACCACTGAGGTCTGAGTATCATTGCACTAAACAATATTTGTATGTGCTACAACAAACAGGGATAATCAATCTAAAGGCCTCCAAAACTAACAAGAACAAATTTGAGCGTGGGAAGGTCGATGAGTTTACAGTGGAGTCTGTGGACATTGGAGACCTGAAAAAAATAAAGATTGGCCATGACAATAAAGGTAAGATGACCTGGCACAACATAGCTTTCCTTGTTCCACATGTGGGGGTTATATTTGGAAATATTCATTTCATGACTTATTTATTAACATGCTGGTCATTACTATCATCATGTGCTTGGTGCTTTGCAGACAAATGTACAGGTCCTTTCCCCAAGGAGCCTGAAATTTAATTTAGACATGGTACAGCAGTGGTGGCAAATGAGGTGTAAGCGGCATGAGCAGTGTTGAAACACAGCTGTTTTTTCATCCTTTTGTAAGCTGTGATATTATAGCAGGAGGAGTATGCACCAGGGTGGAAAGGCTACCCAGGAGAAGTGAACATTGCAAGGGAATTGCTGTACAAAACCATTATTCCATGAAGGGGTGATGCCAATCCTCTGTCTGGCTTTATAACCACCTTGTGGTGTATATTCAGGGCATTCCGACCTGATTGCTATGCTTTAAAATGATCCAGATTTCAAAATGGGATCTGTAGATAATAAAACCCTGGTGCTAAATTCACACAAAGGGCCCAGATTTTCACAAGTGACTAGTGGTTCCAGGTGCCTCAGTTTTTGAATGCCTGACTTCAGACATTTTAAAGGGGCCTGATTTTCAGAAAGTGCTGCAAACCCTCCCTCTGATAATGAGGCCCCTTTAGTCTCCCACTGGACATTCAGACTCTGAGGCACCCCAAACATGTAGCCACTTTTGAAAAAATTGGCCTCAAGTTCTGACAAAAGAAGCAAGAGTGAGCGAGAGTCTAATGGTGATGGCACAGCACTGCCAGGCCAGTGAGCTCCTCCTGTGTGCTGACCCTGGTTTTAACTCCCTCTGGGACTTCGGACAAGTCACTTAGCAGTAACTTGTCTACTGCAAGTGACTTTTCTGTAGAACTGAATGCTAACACTTACCTCTTTCACAGGGATCTTGCGGGATGAATTAATTATTTCATTGTCTGTAAAGCGCTTTGCTGGTGAAAAGTGCTATTCACTCTGAGTATAATCTCCTGCTACAGGTGGCTCCGCTGGCTGGTTTCTGGAATGGGTGGAAATTGATGCCCCATCACTTGGGCAATGCCTGAAGTTCCCTTGTGGCCGCTGGCTGGATAAATCAGAGGATGATGGAGCCACTGAGAGAGATCTCTTCCCTGCAGAACTGCAGACAAAAGAATATGTTCCATGTATGTAGAGTTTTGCCTTGTGGCAGACATTGAATTGCTCCTCTCTAAGCCCCTGCTTTCCCCTTTCCCTATTTCTGGGGGTGGGAATCCACTGTGCTTCTCATTCCTCACATTCACAACTTTGGGGCTCTCTCTGACTCTTTTCCACATATGCTGGCTGTCGCCAAATCTTGTCACTTCTGCATCCATGGGTTTTTTTAAAATCTACTCCTTCTCTTTATTAGGAAGATGGTCCAGTAGTTAAGGTGCTAGCCTGGGACTTGGAAATGAAGTTCCATTCCTTGCCCTGCCACACACTTCCTGTGTAGCCTTGGCCAAGTCACTTAGCCTGTCTGTGTGCCTCGGTTCTCCCTCTGTAAAACGTGGACAATAGGACTTGCCTTCTTCACAGGATTGTTATTAGGATAACTAACTTTAAAGACTGTGAGGCACTCAGATACTATAGGTTTATAGATTCTTTCTTCTCTCCCCTGCCCAAACCCTGGTTCATGCCATTGTTCCTTCTCACCTGGACTATCCTCCTCTCTGGCCACCCTGATCTTTACCGTCCCCTCTTCAAACTATCCAACAGTCAGAAGCTACCATAATCTTTCTCTGGTGATGCTCTGACAGTGTCTCCTCACTCACGTCCCTACCACCGCTGCTGCTCTGACCATGGTATCCCCTGTCTCTCAAGCACATTTGCACTTTCTTTCCACATAAAACATTAGTGGTGGAAGAAGGGATGCTCCTTGTACCCTTCCCCACCACCACCCCTTGTGCATTCAGTCTGCTGTCAGACATAACTGGCCCCAGGTTTAGAATAATAAATAAGATAGACACATGGGATGAATGTCAACCCATCGCAAGGCCTCTGTAAACAGATCACACTTCAGCCCTAGGGACCATCCATGTCACATTTCAACCCTATGGGACTTAACCAGTGCATAATGCTTGCGCTGATCCTCTTCAGAGGAGTGACTGTCACCCATAGTACCATGGTTTTGCTTCTCACCGTGTTTTTCCTGAGACGTATCACATATGGTGTTAAATTCTTGATACATAACTTGAGTGGGTAATTTATTAGGGGTATTACATGATGTAAGAGTTTCTGGAATGCCAGCTCTTCGTGTATAAAGCTTATTTGTGTCAGCAGCGTCTGGGACCAGCAATCAGGGCTATGTAGAAGGAGACTTGCAAGATGCTAGAACCAAGCATAAATACACAAGCACGTAAATACACATGTTGTGCTATTCACAATATTCTAATTTCCCAACTATTAACCTGGTGATTTCAAATTGCCACTAAAATGGTCTGACATGGTTCATGATCGCTCATGCCAAATTATTTCCCTGAGCATGGGAAACATGTCATTGTTGTGCCCGTTAAAACAGTGCCAGTGGGGTACAACCTGAAAATGAAAGGGGATTCTGACAGCTGAGAGCTGTGACCTTGTGTTGCTGATTCAGTTCTAAACTGATGTTAATATTCAAATAAATAAACCAAGCATAGCAGCCTTGAGAAGATCAGATCATTTTTAATTCATAACGCATAGCAGGCCATTTTGGTCTCCAGGATTAGTTCTTTATTTTTACCTATTGCAGGAAACTATTTCAGTTTATCTGCAGCATGGGCAAATAGGTTTCATTGGTTCTGGCAAAAAGAATATTAAGTACCTTCAGGCTGATTGTCTCTAAAATCAAATTTCTTCATCTCTGTTCTCCTGAGAGCTGTGTTTAGAAAGCCTGGATAGTTAATGAAGGATTATGCTCTGATATGCATAATCACAGTTACTCCAGCAATAATAGAAGTAGTGCCAGAAATAAGCCATCTGTTCTGATCTAGGATAGTGAGTCCTGGAACTCCCAGCACCGTGGCATAAAGCATAACAAAAAATATTGAAATGGGTGGAGTGTGGGAGAGCACAGGATTATAAGCAGCTCAGAAAGATGCACAGAAAAAGGAAGAGAATGGTTGAAGTGGGGTTTGATAGACATGAACAGGTAAACCAAAGAGAACAGAAGGGCAACCAGAATGACAGAGTAGGGATAGAAAAAATGGAAGCCCATGGTACGTGTATGGGCCAAATGCTGCACAACTCTAACAGAGACCGGTAGCATCCTGAGTGTGAGTCAGCAAAGATATTATTTCTATTTAGGGTTCAAGAACTGCTAAGAGGCCTTTGATAATTTGAAATAAAATAAATAATATTAATGCTGAGCTCCTGTCAGGCACTTTTCATCCATATACCTCAAAACGCTGAACAAAAGAGAGTAAATATTATTCTCCACATTGGGAAACTGAGACACAGAGAAGGGAAGTGACTTGCTATGTAACAGGTTATGGTTATGTAACAGGTCAGTGACAGAGCCAGGAATCTGTCCTGGTCTTGTGGCCCCCCAGGCCAGTCCCCTATATCCTGGGCTAGTCTATTTCTTACATCAGTAAGAGTCTGAAAAAGAATAAGAATAAGGAACAACTGTAGGAAGTATGGAATTAAAGGCAACAGTAAATTCTAGAGAGACCGAAGTAGGAATAAGGAAGGTTTAAAGGGCCCAATTCATTGTTGCTCTGCACGTTGTATAGTCACAGTTCTAATTAGGTAGCATTTTATGCCCACTTTGCACTACTGTAGGTGACTGGACAAGGTGCAGGGCATTGGAGAATCTGGCCTCAAGAGAACAATAAAACAATAAAAGAGTGAAATGGAGATTAGTTCTTTAAAGCGAGAGGCAGGTTCACATTCCTTCCCCCCCCCCCCAACCCAGTTGATGTTACCTCCGCAAACTAATACTTAAAATAGTCCAAAAGTTTTAATGAGGTTTATATAGAATTTTTCATACCAGCTCCAGCTAATTCAGTTTTGCCAGTTTTCTTAGTTACTCAAAAATCTTCTGAGTCTTTTAAAGACTCAGCATACTGTGGGAGATTCATGTTTCAATGACTTTGCAGTATAAATATTCAGAGCTCTCTTGACTCCCAGGATTAAATCCAGTGGGTCAGATTCCAACCTCAGTAAATCAGTATGAATTCAGAGTAGCTCTGTTGGCTTCATAGATTTAAATGGAGTTCTCCAGATTTACGCTGGTGTTACTGAGATCAGAATCCAGCCTGATGGCTTGCAACATAATGTAACAGTTGTACATAACTTCCGTGTGTATAATTCCTAATGATGCTTTGTAAACGATGACATTTCTAATCTAGGTTTGAGTTTGTTAAATTCTAAAATGAATGATAGACTTTCTCAGTTGGAAGCCTGGCTTTTTGCTCACAGCCCCTGGTTTGTTTGTTGTTTTTCTCTGCTTGCCTTAGTTGTCCCTTATGAGATCACAGTTTACACCAGTGACATCTTTGGAGCTGGCACTGATGCGGATGTTTTCATTGTTCTCTATGGAAGTAATGGAATCTGCAGCCAACAGAAATCCCTGTGCCAGAACAAGAGGGAGCAAAGGATGTGCTTTGAGAGGAACTCAGTGGATCAGTTCATTGTGGAGGTAAAATAAAAAATATTTGCTCTTTTTCAGGAGCAATGATTGGGTGCGGGGTTTAGGGACACAAAGTGAAGAGAAAAGCAGTTGGAATGTGGAAAAACATTGAAAAAGGACTCTTCATGACAGCTGGGTGAAATTTTTTGGATGACTAATTCTGGACAAAAGGTTCATTTTGGGCTGACCTGAAACTATTTGTGAATTTGACATGAATTGTTTTGGCCATTCACAGACTGGCCAGAGAAGGAAGAGGTGGGGGTGCTGCTGGACCCTTATAACCTTTATCCCAGTGGTGGGGGCACTCATGTGGAGACCCAGGCTTGAATCTCTGCTCTGGGTTCAAATCCCTCTTCTGGGGTAGACCTCAAGCAGACTTTCTCAATTTACCAGAGAGTCTACAACATTCAGATATGGCTCAGCCCAAACAGAATATTTTTTTCCAGTTTTTGGAACTTCCACTGAACCAAAAAATCAATGACTTGCCCAACTCTTTACCTCTCTCCTCACAGGAGACTTGTGCAGGTACTGCAGTGAGGGAGGAAGGGTGCTCTAGTGGTTAGGGCATTAGCCTAAGACTTGGGAGTCTTGGATTCCGATCCCAGTGCTGCTACAGACTTCCTGTATGATCCCAGGCAAATCACCAAGCCTTCTTGTGTAACCTACACACCTCCTGGTGTGTGGTGTTCTGTCCCATCTAGTGGCACCGAGACGACTAGAGAGAGAGAGAGAGTTAAATGAGTCTGCTGTACAGAATTTGCTAAGAGCCAGTTGGCTTTTAGCTTATGCACTAAGCTCCAGAGGTCATAGGTTCAATCCCGCCCGCCGACGGACCAAGTCTGTCAGTGTTACACTTGCACCTCAGAAACCCATCTATAAAATGGGGATAATAGCCCTCTCTCACAGCATGTTACAAGGATAAATACCCTTACAGCGCTGTAAGGTGCACAGATACAGTAGTTGGAGCAACATAAGATAGATAAGTAGCAACCCCTGCCATTGCTTGCTAAGGGCCTCATCTAGAACCTTTAATCAATTATAATTTCTCTCCCTCTCTCTTTGGTACACTTACACATATTCTCACTTCTCTCTGTCCCTCCAATATTTTTAAAAGGAAACACCTTCTAAGAACCAAAGGTAATATCTGAAATTGCATGCACAAATGGGGGATCTATATGCACCATTTTGTGGGTGTACTTTCAGAAGGCACTTCAAGTTACGGAGGTGTTTAAAAATCTGGCCCTATATGTTGTTTCTGTTTGATATTTTCATCCACTGCGTGTGACAGAGACTAAGTTTCCAGAGGGACTTAAAACCTTTCTGTGTTTCTTTTTGTTTTGTTGTGGTGGTGTTTTTTTAATAATCAAGACCAAACCTTAGAACATTTTTAAACAAATTAAAATATTTTCAGCTCAAATTGTTGTCCTAGGAAACAAATCACAATAAACCTTCCTCTTTACATCTTTCAAAGACCAGAACTTACCTCCATGGAGTTTCCCTGGAGTTGTCTATGATGGAGTTTGCCATTAATCAATCTATGTGTATAAAACTTGAACTGCACATTATTTTAACGTTGTAACCCTCAGGATTTATTTTCCCTTTAGACGAAGCTGAGCATCAGTGCATTTGAGATGAAGAAGATGAAAATGCAGTTTGGTCTGTGGATTTAGAAGGACATATTAACTGGTCCCCCAAATTTATTTTTTTCTTTACCAAACCACAACAAAAAAGCAGAAAAATATATTCTTCTTTCACCTATTTGTGAGGATCCATAATTTGAAGCTCAGTAGACCTTGAAAATAATGCTGGGATTTCAGAAAATACAGAGCTGAGAATTGCCTTTTTGTTTTAGTGGCTTTACTGCCGGTGCTGTTTGGCATTCTGCAGAAGGGGCAATAAAAGCCTTAAAAAACACATTACCAGCTACAGTTCTGAGTGGTGATTTTCTGGAGATGCCTAAAGCGTTGCAATAAACACATCTTTTTTTAATAGCCATCTTTACAGTCACATGCCACTTCACTACTATGTATAGATTGAATGCCTCATTGAGGGATGGTTATTCAGGCTGAGCAGAGGAAGAATTACATCGTTTCACCTATATTAATGTTTTTGGATGAATTCAGAGAATTTTAATTTTTATGCTAGTAAGGGATTGATAATGCTCGCTATAGTCAAATCAGGTAGAGTGAATGCAGACCTCATGCAAGCTTCCCTATCCAGTTCTGTTGCAGCACCAAACCCTGAATTGCAGCAACCAGTCTACTCCAATTCTCTGTCTCTCCTGAAATGAGACACACTGTGCTTTTGTACATGACAGTCTTGTCATGTTGGGGGCAAGTGGTAGGGGAGCTAAATTGATACCTGCAAACTTTTAACGTTTGCAAGATCAAAAAATAGTTGGTATACAAAGCTCTGTAGGGAAAACACTAGCTTAACAGGCCCCTCCCATGTGAAAAGGAGGCATTCGATCAGTGCTGATCTACACTCAAGCTGGCACTGAAATAACAAAAGGTACAAATCAAAATCAGTTTCATGGTTTAGGTTTACAGTTTTATTTTCAGAATATAAGTGGCTAAAGGGGCACCCAGAAAATTAGTGGCTATTTAAAATATTGATCTGTGTGATTTGCTCAAAGTGTCAGACGGAGTCTGTGGCTGAGCAAGAAAGAAAAAGCAGATTTCCGGGATCTCAATCTTGTGCTTTGATTTCAAGACCCTCCTTTCCCTGTTATAATCATGAATCAATAATCTAACACAGAGCTGTAAAAAAAAAAAAATCAAACCACAGTAAACTTACAGCTTCTGAGGATTGGTTCAATTCCAATTCCATCTGAAGAGCTTGAGGAAATGCTCCACGCACAGACTTGCATTTATTTAACAGAATCTGTTCCCAAAATGTAGTTATTTCAGTGCAAGTCAGTGTGGACGCACTTATTTCAGAATAAACACAATGTTGAGCCCCTCATTCCACTTGCATATGGATGCTACGGTGAGGCTAATATTTGCCCTTTTGGGAACTTAATATAGACTGAAAATAAGAAAATGGATAACGAATCAGTGGATCTTGGCTTTAGCTGTAAAGGAACTGAGGCTGCCGCCTATTACTCACTTCATAATCTTTTCTTTGTTTCCGTAGCTGGAGGATGTTGGAGACACTATTGAGAAGATTCGTGTTGGGCACAAAGGCGGAGGGCTTAATTCTGGATGGCATTTAGATCGGGTGGAGATACGGAGACTTTTGCCAAATGGGAAGGTAGGCATTGAATCTTTGGACTTTGTGGAAGGCTTCCAGTGGCAGCTGCTTCTGCTTCCCAAAGTGGAGCAGCAATATACCAAGAATGATTAAGAGTGAAAAATGACTCCCCAGAGAGCAATGCTAGCTAATGAAGTAGCAGGAGCTTGGGGACTCTGGGGCAAACATTTATTATGGTGGTTTATTCTTCAAATGTTGATTCTAAAACTCTGCAGCTTAACAAAAAAAAATGCTTAACCTCCTCCCCTCCCCCATTCTTAATGCACTTGTTGGGTAGAATAAAGGTATCAGGGCTCACGTTAGAGTAAAATATTTCAAGACTACGGATGGTTAACGACAGATTGATGAGCAACCAGTATGGCCGACTGATGGCCCAGTTATCTGACTTTAAAAACTGCGGACATGTCTGCTTTCGGTAGCTACGATAAAGATCGCATGGTGGTTTTGTAAGGGTAGACTTTTCCCCAGTTACCTTGGGAAAAATTTCCCCTTCCACCACTGTTGCATAGTGCATGCTGGCTACCATCCTCCCATCCCAGAGTTGGCTGCATTTCAGTGTTGTGAAATGGCTGCTGTATGTGTAGATTGTAAAGAGTTTGGGGAACTTTGGAATGACTGTGCACTGTGTAAATATATATGCCACTCTGTTGCTCTATAGCTGCAAAGGCCAGGGGAGAATTTTCTGTGAGGCAGGAGTAGTGAAAGGAAACCATAATCAGCCATATGCTGCCCCCTTATGTGGGGCATGTCAGGAGTGTCAGAAGAAATCTTCCTGGTGCGGAGCACGACAGAGATTGTGGGATGCTCCGGGATGTGGTTCTGCCAGTGGCTGTACTGGCGAGTCTGTTGTAAATTTGGGTAGCCCTTGAGGCTGTCTAATTTATGCCAGGAAGGTGCACCAGCCCTCACTAGCCTGGTATCGTTCCCTCACTACCTCTGGGCTGCTGCTTCTCTGCGGCACCTCCTGTAAGGCACAGGGCAGAAACTCTCCCAGGATGTGTAATGCTCCATTTCTGTCTGGAGAGCCTTGCAGGTTTGATCCAGCTACCATTTTGTTCCTGAGCCAGACAGGAAGCTCTTTACCTAGGTCTGCAAAAGGATTTAGGCACCTAACTGCTCTTTAGGCACCCAAGTTTGAACTTCAGATCCCCCCACTCAGTTGCTGCCCAAGGGCCTGAGGTGCCTATGTTTCCACAGATAAAGTCCTTTAGATACTAAATCTCTGCCAGTGGGCATGAGCACAGCTGCCTCAGTCCTACCACACTTCACTGGGCCAGCGAAAGAGAGTGAGAATGACCCCCTAGCCTAGTGGTTAGGGCATTCCCCCAGGATGCAGGAGACCCAGCTTCAACTCCCTGTTCCAATGACTAGTTCATTATTTATACAAAGTTTCAGTTTCAACAGGAGAGATGGAGGGAGCCTCCCTTCCTCTCCCCCTCCTCTGAGTACCCCATAGCCCAGTGGTTAGGGCAGAGGTGGGCAAACTACGACCCACAGGCCACATCCGGCCCGCGGGACCATCCTGCCTCGCCCCTGAGCTCCTGGCTGGGGATGCTAGGCCTTTCCCCCCTCTCCTGCACCCACGCCGCAGCATGGGCAGTGCTTTGAGTGGCGGGGCTGCACGCTCATGCAGGGGAGCGCGGCAGCATGTCTGGCTCCGGCCAGGCGGCGTGGCTCCCAGACATGCTTCTCTGAGCGGCATTGTAAGGGGGTCAGGTGGTTGGATAAGTGGCAGGGAGTCCTGAGGGGCAGTCAGGGGACAGGGAGCAGTTGGATGGGGTGGAGGTTTGGGGCGGGGGTGGTCAGGGGACGGGGAACAGGGGGCGGTTGGATAGGGCAGAGGTTCTAGGGGGGGGCAGTCAGTAGATGGGAGGGTTAGGGATGGGGGTCCTGGGTCAGGGGACAAGGGGCAGGGGTAGGATGGGTCGGGGGTTTTGAGGGGGGCAGGGAGGGGGTGGATAGGGGGCAGAGGCCAGGCTGTTTGGGGAGGCACAGCCTTCCCTACCCGTCTGTACATACAGTTTCGCACCCCGATGTGGCCCTCGGGCCAAAAAGTTTGCCCACCCCTGGGTTAGGGCATCCTCCGGAGCGGTGCGGGTTCAATTCCTGCTCCACGTTTGCACAAAGGGGCTTAGGCACCTCACTGCAAGAGAGGGTTCCTGGCTGTGAATCCCCAGCAGAGGTAGGTGCCTAACTCCTTTTGAGGGGTTGGGTTTAGGCCACACCCCTCTCATCAGCATTTCCTTCTTGGCTAGTTAAGGTAGCTCCCTGTTGAATGTGCTGTGTTTTGTGGATCTCCAGTTTGTAAGGGCCTACAGGCAGGTCTACACTACAAATTTACATTGTGCAGCTGTGCCGCTGTAGTACATGATGAAGATGCTCTAAGGCAACAGGAGAGAGCTCTCCTATTGGCTTAATAACTCCACCTCTGCGAAAGGCGGTAGCTATGTCACGGGGGAAGGTCTCCCGTCAACATAGCACTGTCTACAAGGGGGGTTGAGATCAGTATAACTACATTGCTCTGCGGTGTATGCAAGTAAGTATGTAGTCTAGACCAGACCTAACTCTGCCCATACATTGTGTAGGGAGCTTGGCCACCTAACTCATTAGGCAGCGGGGCACATAAAGTTAGGCTCGGCATTGCAACACGTAAGTCCTCTTTGTGTATCCAGCACTAAGTGAACAGCATTATAGGATGGGGATGGAGGTGTGTAATGTCTACAGAAGAAACATATATGTGAATGGGGGAAATACCCCTGTGTTGACTATAAAAGGACTGGTTCTCAGACTGGATTTACATAGGACCCAACTACGAAGTGGATAATGGAGATGACTGAAGCGCTATAAATGCACTTTAGTAATCAAACATGGGTGAACTTGTAGCAATTGACTGAATTTTGTCTCCATGGATTGGTAGCACTTATATTTCAGATTGCAAAGCCAAGCAAATATAGTGATGTATTAATACTATTGCTACTGCTCTATTGCTGTTGATACTACAGTAACATTAACATGGAAGCTGTAGTCACAATTAGGTACAATGATGACACATGCTTATTATTTCTTACTGTTTACCTTCTTCATCCCTTGAAATCCTAGCTCATCTGTTTGTGGGACCCAAGGGGTAGGCCAGTCATAAATATAAAGGGCAGGGTAACCACCTTTCTGTATACAGTGCTATAAAATCCCTCCTGGCCAGAGGCAAAGTCCTTTTACCTGTAAAGGGTTAAGAAGCTAAGGTAACCGCGCTGGCACCTGACCCAAAATGACCAATGAGAGGAAAAGATACTTTCAAATCTGGACAGGAGGGAAAGGGCTTTTGTCTGTCTGTGTGATACCTTTGCCGGGAACAGATCAAAGATGCAAGCCCTCCAACTCCTGTAAAGTTAGTAAGTAATTTAGCTAGAAAATGCGTTAGATTTTCTTTGTTTTGGCTTGTGAAATTCGCTGTGCTGGAGGAATTGTGTATTCCTGTTTTTGTGTCTTTTTGTAACTTAAGGTTTTGCCTATAGGGATTCTCTGTGTTTTGAATCTGATTACCCTGTAAGATTATCTTCCATTCTGATCTTACAGAGTTGTTCTCTTATCTTTTTTTGTTCTTCTAATAAACTTCTGTTTTTCAGGATCTGATTGGGTTTTTGGGGTCTTAAAAATCCAAGGCTGGTTTGTGCTCATCTTGTTTATTCTCAAGCCTCCCCAGGAAAGGGGGTGTAAGGGCTTGGGGGAATATTTTGGGGAAATAAGATCTCCAAGTAGTCCTTTCCCTGATTATTTGTTAAATTATTTGTTGAATTATTTATTGGTGGTGGCAGCGTTTTACCTAATCCAAGGGAAAAGACTTTGTGCCTTGGGGAAGTTTTAACCTAAGCTGGTAGAAATAAGCTTAGGGGGTTTTTCATGCGGGTCCCCACATCTGTACCCTAGAGACAGGCCAGAACCTCATCCAGAGATCTAAACTTCCCTTGACATCCCTCTGAACTTTGGAAGAATTTGGATTCACATCTGACCTTTACAGACCTAGCCCATCTCGAGTTTCAATGCAGCTGTCCTTATTCATAAAGAACAAGGGGAGAGAGTTATAGAAAATGACACTTACATATATGTATGTTTGCTGTAATGTTTTTTACAGTTTTCCATGCACACTCTTTGCATCTCTATGCATCCTGTCCATCCAGCTCAAACAGCCCTGTCTCCCAGATAACTCAGTGCACAGGGATGCTGGATCCAAGAAAAGCTGAAGCGATATTAATTAATAGGGTAATGCTTTGAGGAGGTGGCAAGCACCACCATTTCACCTGGAACCAGTGGTCCTTGGGTACAGCTGAGAACCTGCTTGACACAGGGCATGGCTCCTCTCCTGCCTTCTTCCCCACAGAAACAGGACAGGACGGACTCCTGATGCAGTATCCACTAGGCCCTTCTCCCATCTCCTCCTCTCCTTCTCCAAGATTTTGGCATTTTTCTTCACTGCTCCCGTAAGTTTCAAAATTATGCTAGCCCACAGTCCATAGATGGGCAGTCTCTTTTTATACGTCCCTATCTCCCACATTGGTAACAGGTAATTTCCCGCCTCCCCAGAGGGGACTCTTGTTTTCTTCTCTTTTCTTCTCTGTAGATTTCACCCCTAACACTTTTCCAACTCTCTTTCCAGCTCAGGCCTGTTAGACAGACAAACCCCCTTGCAGGGAAAATCTACTACCTCAAACTCTTCCGTGAGTTTCACCACTGCCTCCAGGGCTGTAGTTCCTAACCCAAAGATGAGTGTTCTCCTGGAGGCCATGTAGAAATTGTTCAAGGATTATGGAGTCCGTGATTTTTCCCACAGTCTGAGTGCCTGGCTTTAACCAGTGGGTGGCCCAATCAGTTAACCTTTGGGCACATGCCCTGGGCTATACAGATCTGGCCCATCTAGCAGCCCAAAACTTCTGCTGGTATTTCTCTGTAGACAATCCCACATGGTCAAGTATGGCTGCCTTAACAGCATCATAGTCCTCAGCCTG